ATATGGTGAAATGATATCCCGACAAAGCAGCGAGGTATGTATCAAGCCTTAGCCCCGCCTATCGCAAAATGGACAAGTTCGCAGTGCAGCTCAGCACTGGTTCATGGCCATGTTCCCTAGTCAAGTGAAAGCAAGTTCTGATAGTGAGCTATAAGGTTGTCGCAAGCTGGTGTGAAGCTTGACTATTTAAATTGTTTTGATCTCTTTTTCTTTTTTCTTTTTTTTTTTTGCAATGAACGCTGATGTGTTGATCGTGAATTTCAAGAGGTTTGCTGTTCTACCTATGAATGACCGAGTGACTCTTTGATATCCAACTTTGAAGTGTGAAATCAATCTAGAACACCTAAGGCATGATTGTCTGAGTGACCTCACATCTTACGACTAGTTCACAGGCAATTTCGATTGAGTTCAAAGCAAAAGCAAAATTCGCCTATAATGCTTGTTTTGAATTCTCGTCGCAATGGAATCCGTTTTTAGCTACTGGGGTTTCAGAACTTACTTTTCCGATAAAAGAGTTAATCGTGTTGGTCATTTCAGATAATAATATTTCTCGGTAAGCCGACTTTCCTTTGGACTATACTTGAGAGTGCACAATAAAAAATATTCAGTATAGTAACAGATGTGAATAAAGAAAAACACTTTTCCAAGCATGAAAGAATTTCCTTATACTTACCTCGAAAAATAAATTTGGACGAACCCACTAGGAACAACTAACTAAATACGATGAAAAGAGCTTGCGAAATAATTTATAATGAAAAAATATCTGAAAACTGATTTTCGATTTAACTGAAATTTTGAAATCTGCTGTTATCCAAATTGCAACCAACTGAAGAAGCATGAACGAAACATTAGAAAGTCTTCCAATGGGACGTCATGCAGGAGGCAGCAAAGGCTTACCGCATTTGCTTCTGGAAGTGCCTAGGGAGCTCCAGATTCCTCGCGCCTTTAATCACTTTTCGCACCTCTGACTACTTTACAATGGAGGATTAAACGAAAACTTTTTTGAAGAGTATCGCACCCTGAATCAATTTGAGAATCTTGCAAATTTTTCAATCTCAGCTGTAATCGTTTTCAGCCTCTTTAAATAATGGGTTCAGGGCATTGTACGCAAGAATTCGTAACAGAAGGATGTGATTCTGCTGCAGAATAAAGCACGAGTGCAATTAGTCTTCAAAGTCCTTGTCTTCGATCGGAATAACTGAGAAAGATTTACATGTGCGATTCTGGTTTGAAGATTGAACAGGCCAATTCTTACTTTTAAATCATTTAACGTTGAATGGCTATCTATGGGTCCTTTTTGAACTTGTTATCTTATTTGCTATGAATTTAAAACATAAAAACTATCTCAAAACTTTTCACGCTTTGAGAAATCAACGATCAATTTGGCATAGATCATATAGAGTAATTAGAAGTGCGAAGAAGTAATTAGAGGCGCGAGAAAGTCTGAAGTTCCCCAGGTACTTCCATAAGCAGAAGCGGCGAGCCTTTGCTGCCTCCTGCCCGACCGCCCTTCCAATGGCTGCAACGCATTTCTAGGCTAATTAACGAGGGGGCGGAGCGATCAGCGCACCGCGTACGGTACCCAGCTGGCGGCTGGCACATGCTATCGTTCATAAAGTCATACACCCGTTTGCTTTGCTTCTTTTGTATACCTGTCTTCGTTACTTGCATTTGTTGCAGTGATGCGTCATCCAGTTCATCCGATGACGAAAGAAGAAGGAGGAGGAAAGCTCCACCTGTTGTAGTTATAGTGAGTTTTTCTTACTTCATAATTTTTTTTTGGAAATGCTTCGATGAATGCTTATGTAGCCGGCAAAATCTTCTCCAAAACTCCGTTTCAGAAGCGAGAAAAATGGGGCTACCTTGCATATAAGGAAGAGCGTTCGCCCGAAGGCTCTTACATTGGTAAATTTTTTTATCAACAGTTGAATCACGAGGGATAGTTGTTTTAGTGTATGACAAGCAATACGATCACGAGAACTTCAGTATGGATGTCATACCTAAAGGCCAGACAGTGGATTATCGGGCTCATTACTACACAGTCATCAATGGGAACTCTCGTTTAGATGAGGTGATTCTTTCAAGATATTTTTTCATCTGCTCTTCTAGCTGAGGTAGGTCATTAGCTTGGTTAGCAGAGTCCACTTCCACTCTCATCTTTCTTCGGCTCTTGATATCTGATGGGCGTCGCACGTTCGGACTCTGCTGACTGCGCACAGTAGTTGAGGTGAATTTATTGCTTTTCTTCCTGCTATCTATACCATATGCATTCTTTTTTCCCATATATTTCCGCTATAAAACATGTCCATCTTGGGATTAATGTAATGTTACTAGAAGGTTTTGCAAAGTCTAGTAGTTCTTAAGAGTATCAGTGCATTTGTTGATTCAAGAATGCTTTCGTTGTTCAATCATACGATAGGGTAACGGTGGTCGTACTGTAAGAGGTTTAAGTGGGTTTCTTGTAAATTTTAAATTCATAGAGCTGTGCAAAAGAGGATACACAAATATAGCGTAGTCATTATCTTTGCAACTCTTCATATATAGTCCAAAAGTTTGCAACTCTTTCCACTTTTATTGTTACTTTCCTCGATTGTTGGTCCGCGTATACCAATGGTGGTGGTTGATGGCTCAGAAAGTCAAGCACAGTTTGTCCAAAATAGGGATTCTGAGCGTTTTCTAGCTGCCAGATCTTTGATGTATATGGTACTGCGCGGTCGCAGTACTTCTCCACATTATCTGTAGCTGTATGTAATCACTCATATTAGTCAATATATGCTATAGCTAATCTGTCTCTTCAAGCTTTTCTTCGCAAAAGAACTGCGGGATGTCAAGGACAAGCGGAAACGGGCAGAAAGATATTTTGATGGAACTTTGCGGAAGCTGGATGATTCCAACGTGGAAAGAAAGTTTCGGAAGTTGCAGTCCATGTACGAGACCAACATGGACTACGTGGCTTTGTCTAAAACAAAACTGCAAGAATTCGAGTTTCTCGTAAGTTATTTGATCTGAGCGCGCGTTCTCGCGCAGTCTAAAAAATCATAGGTAAAATTCTGATTTGCCTGTTTTAGCACCAAATAGCTGAGCGTAATGCCATGGAAAAGGAGCGGGAGGCTTTGGAGATTGAAGTGGCTGTTTTTTGATCAAATCTTTGGTTCTTTACTTGCATTCATTTGTTGAGATTTAGTCATCGACACCCGCTCATGCTGTTCATCTTGAAACACAGAGGCGCTTAATTGCGACGGAGTTTGCCAACAATAAAAGGGATCCCGACGTTTTGGAGAGATTCCTCAAGATCAATGTACGCTAAAAAAAATGAGTTCTGCCTCACCGGATCTCTAGAATTTCAGGAAGAGCTGTTCGAGGCCAGTCGTGTTACGGGCTCAGCTTCCGATCGACGAGGTCTTGCTGAACGCCAAATCTCCATAATCGACCAGGTAGTCAATATTTCATTTTTAAAATACCGAAAGCGGTTCCCACCGGCTGCCTTCCGCGCTAATGAGATGAAAAAGGGAAGCGGATTAGCTGTCTTGAACTATTGGATAACGAAATCAAGGATGTTCTTCATGAATCCAACCAAACGAAAGTGGAGAAACTGATAAACTAGGAATGAATCTAGAAACAGATGGTTGTGTGCTATGGCGCGAGAGAGTTCTCTTCATCCGAGTCCAAAAAATGTGCAATCACAAGCTACAGCAGAATGAAACCCACTACATTCTTTTTGTGTAATGTGGATTATAGGCCATTGCTGCTAATCAGCGTGCCGTGGAGTTTCGGTTGAAAAGGCTTGAATATCTGAAGGAGCTACGTCCCAAGGAAGAATTGCTTGTTGAATGGGAAAAGGTTAGTTTCTTGGGTTGGCTGATCGTTGTTATAATATTTCTGTTTTGTTCTAGTTTCCGTGCTGTTTCATGCGAACTGTTTCCTTGTTTGCTTGCTTCAGACTTGTTTCCAGATCTTGAATGGTTTTGTCAATAATTGCTCGGTATGGGAGAAGTACTTGGACTACATACAGTACGATTCCGCAAATTACAGCAGACAAGTGATGGTGAGCTATACATCATTCATCAACACAAATTTGTTGCGCAGTCTGGGCAGGCAAACCTCTTCGGTCATGGGGTACCATATACTTTTGATATGGCGGATAAAATATGATAATTGCTCTTGAGATGTTTATGCCAAGCAATTGAAATGTAATGCTGTGTCGTCTTTTAAGGAGCAGTTTGACTCTTGGAAGTGAAATGTGTTGAAAAAAAGAGGCAAAGTACAAAATCATTTGATTCCTAGTGTCTTTTGTGCAACGAAACAACGTGTTTTAGGAATTTACTTCCGAACTTTTTTGCGAACGAGGGCATGCAGTCGTCCTCATTTCAGTAGTCATCACCTCTCTTGCTGCTTTGGATATTGTGCTGAGATTGTCTTTGGGGAGAAACGGGCACATATATGGCTCCGGCATCAAAGGCCTGGCCACTTTGCTCAAAAGCGCCCAAGAGCGCCCAAATTTCTCTAACCTCTCTTCACTTTATCTACTATCTTCACACGAGAAAGTGAAGAGAGGTTAGAGAAACTTGAGCGCTAGACGCTTGAGCGAAGTCTGGCCGGGGCCAAACAGTTTTGGTCATCTGTTGTGTCATTGAGACGAGTTGCATCTAGGCGTGATTACTCCTGATGGGAATCATGAACTGACTTTCAGGAAAGAGCCTTTGATCGTTGCTTTCGAAAACTAAATGCTATTCTCAGTGGAACTTTCAAGTAGGCTTTCGCATTGTGTGCTCTTTCTTGCATTCGTAGATAAGTTTTTAGATCTCACAAGCCAGAGCCAAATACCGCAGATTTTCTCGTGCATATGTATGTACGTCGATTATCGTGGTGGATGGAATGCGGTCAAACAAATCGAGCCATTGCCAGCATACAGGTTTGATTAGAAATTCACTGAAGCCTAAAGATTTTCTATTAGTGGCGCCATATACACGTTTTCCAACTGATGTGCGCACTGTTTGATCAATAATATGCTCCAAGGTCTCACGCCTACCTTCAGTACCATTCTTATCTGAAATCTCTTCAGGTTCGCATTATGGAGTGAATCACATTTTTATTCATTACCGAAAGGTTACGGTAGGAACTTTGCAGAGGATTCTAAGCTATAAAGAGGCACATGCTATAGAAAGGAAAGAAGCTAAAACCATTGCTAGCTTTGTGTATAAAATTCTTATTCACGAAATTCGTGCTTTAGAATGCTTCATTCGTAAGTTTTGTCGGTACTAGTATGTAGCAACTGTTGTTTTGATGTTTCAAAAAAGATCACACTAAAAGTTTTGAAGAGTATAATGTCGTGATTATGTAGTGAAATAATCATGAGTGAAAAGAGTGCTTTACCATTTTACACATTTTCTGTGAATTTCTTGCTTCTGTATGCTGGTAGTCCCGACCGTAATCCTAGAGTAACGAAGAGGGGTCGATAACTCGCTTTGTCTACTTCAAATGTAGGTTGAAATCAGCTCTACAGATGGAGTCAAAAAATTGAAAAACCACATCAGGATAAGGGATAACAGCGATCAAACAGTGTGCGCTTGTTTTGAACACTTTTTGTTATATGGAGGTGTTTTATGTGTGCCGTAAGTATGTTTTTGAAAAAGTCATTCGGGCCTAACGACCTCGGGGCTCTTATCTGTTCACTACCACATATAATAGTTTGTTTGTACCCGTGGATCTTCTAGTGCCGAATTTCTAGGCCACTTTCGAATACAACTTCCAAGTTCCGGAGTCTTTGCGCCACGCTCCAGAGGATAAGAAAGAAGAGGCATTTGCAGTTTTTTGGAACAGCGGTGTTCCTCGTTTTGGTGATGAAGAAGCTAAAGGTAGGTCTGCCGCTGTTTATTTGTTTCGTGTTGAAAGGTAATTTATTCAGGTTGGTTTAGCTTCCATGAAAATCGCGATGCGCAAGAAATGGACAGGTTGGAAGTGGTTGCGCGTGCTTTGCAAGAGCAAAAAACTCAAGAACTCGAGCAGAGGTAATCTGAAAGACGCGCGAAAGATTTGAACCGTTTGTCATTTGCAGAATAGCAGCATCTGAGGACGATCTGATTGTCAGCTGGGTAGAGATGGAACGCGAACTGGAATGCATTGAAAGTCGTCCTAGAAGAGCTCTTTCTGGTTCACTCGCAGGTGTAAGTATACTTGCTTTGTCATTATTATCACCAAGTCATTATTTTATCTCGCCTTCTATCTGTCTCTTCAAACTCCTCTCTCTTAAGCTTCTGACGGAATTTTTTCGTCTTATAGGCTGATGTATCACACATATCTTTTCCTCTTACAATAGGCTCTTCAAATCGTCCATGTCTTGTCACCACCGCGCTCAGGGGGACAGCCAACATTAATGATAGGTCGCGCTAGATGCATGCGTTGCGTAGATCAAATCTTTTTCAAAGTCTATGTTTACGCTGTAGTAGCATTTGAAAATTTGAAGAAAACGGTGGGAGCCTAATAAACCTCAATTTTCCCATATCCACTCTTTCTTCAAGTCAATGAAGAGTCTAAATCTTCAAAAAAGTACAAGCTTGTGTACGACTTGCTGACAACCGCAGATGTACATTATGATAATCTACAGATATCGTTCATCTTGGCATACACCTCCGACTTGAGCGATTACATACATGACTAGGATGGGCAATCCTATGCACAAATTCTTTATTCTTTCAAGAAATCAATGTATCTACAACACTTTGAAAAGCATAACTGGGGTGGCAAGTAGTCTGAATAGATTGCGTGCTCTCACTGCTCCTCACCCGCGCCCTGCGACAAGTTTGGGGACCCAGTGTTCGCAAAACTGATTAAGTTGTTTTATAACCCTTCGCACACGTGTACTAACACAGCGCGGAAATCAGATTTTTCACGTCATATACGATATGTATTAGGTTGTCCATTATATGTATTAGGTTGTCCACTATAGGTAAGCCATTCGCTCTATTTTGCTACCTCCAAAAAATTATATTAGGTTGTCCCGAAAGTTTTGTCCGTTTTTTCAACCTATCATAAAAACGCGTGGAACGAAGATAGGGAAACGCTCTAAGCACTATCCGACGCATCTTTTCCTTCTCTTTCTAACTATCATGCTTCCATGCCAATTAATCTTTTGTTCACTGAGATAAACGCCGAAATTTCGAACCCATGGTTTTTACTATGTCCAAATTTGGCAGTTTTTCACAATCTTTATTTTCGACTTTCGGAAAAGCTTTGGCAACAGTTAGATAGAGCAAACAAAGGGCAATATAATGCAATTTTGCGGCATCTATAGCCAGCCTTGAAAATTTTTTAGAATTATTTTTCTGATGCTATCAAATTCCACTTTTGGTGATGCCAAAAGCCAGAGATCATGAAACGGCACACAACTAAGGTGTTATTCGACGCAGCTTTTCCTCCTCTTTCCAGTGAGTGTATTTTCTCTCCAATTTGCGGGGTCTTTGGCGATAAAATTTTCGTAATTCTTGAATTTGACCCCACCCCAGCGTGTACACGTAAAATGCAAAATCTTATATTTCGAAGCGGTAAACGCTCATTTGCTTCGTAAAAATAGTGAATAATCGTAATCGGTTTTTGAAAGCTTCAAAATCCGATAATTTGTTAGTGTTCGAGGCGTTTCTGTATTTTAGAACTTCGCAAAAGTGAAGACTTTTGAAAAAAATTGTCTTCAAAAATATTGAAAACTCAGCTAGACATACCAAATAATTGCATTGCATTGCCCTTTGCTTACTCTATCTGAGAGCTATCAAAGGTCTTCCAAAAGTTGAAAATGAAGATTGTGAAAAATTGTCCAACTTGGACATAGTAAAAACTTCGGCGTTTATCTCACTGAGCAAAAGAGTAATCGGCATATGGGCTTGACAGTTAGAAAGAGGAGGAAAAGATGCGTCGGGTAGTGCTTAGAGCGTTTCCCTATCTTTGTTCCACGTATTTTTATGATAGGTTGAAAAAACGGACAAAACTTTCGGGACAACCTAATATAATTTTTTGGAGGTAGCAAAATAGAGCGAATGGCTTACCTATAGCCGTGGTCTTTTCAATGTTTTGGAAGTAGAAAAAAAAACATAATCATTGTGTAACCATTGACCATAATATTGATTTCTTGAATATCTGGTTTCAGATAGATTCGATTCACGCAATGAAGGAGGTTGCATATGGAGATCTTAGGATTCTCAAGAGCAATAACGCTATTTTTGTGCTTTCCCTTCTCCACGTTCTTGGGGCACGTTGTGGCACGGAATGGTGGAGCACCGCAGACAAGGTTGTTTCGTTTGGTTTTGGCCTTTTTCTACAAGTTAAATTCATCTGCGCATTCTGTTTTAGCCACTTCCTCGGTTGCCTACTTTTCGGCTGCTGGAAGAATGGAATCTGTTGCCTTCTGTTAGGAAGCTATATCCTATCCCCTCACCTGGAGCTCAGGAAATGGTTCTAAATATGTTACGTGCCGCCATTCACCTCCATCCAGATCTGAAATACATCGTATATCTGTTGGAAACGTATGTTATATTCGCATTACTTTGTAATTTGTGTTACCCTTATCATCATCCAAGCTTATTCTTTGATATTTCAGTAAGGCGTCCCAACTTGAATACCTTTACCACGATCGCCCAACTGGTGTATGTGTTGCTCACATGCGTGATTTTGTCAGAAGTATTGCCAAGGATTATCAGAGTGTTGTTGATATCAAAGATTTCGATCTGATCATTGCTGCATACGCTCTGAAGATGGTGAGTATCGGAATAAAAAAGAACGACTTCAACCCTTGAAAGCTCAGTTTTAGTTTGAACGCTGGGCTCGTGATGAGAAAGCCAACTCAGCATCAACTGAAGGCGGTGAGATCGCGAAAGACAAGAAAAAAAGGAAGGAAAAGAATTTCCTCCGATCTCACTATGTTGAACAGCTTTCTGCTTTCCTTTCAAACTCGAATGATGTCCCATTCGTGCAGCAAAGTCCGCGGAAGCTAGTTGTTTCACTTAGGATGTTACTTTGTTTAGTTCAGGTAATATTTCTCTGCTTTTGGTTTTGCGTTTACCACATTATTTGCCGCATTCTCGAGAAATGCAGGTAGTGCTTTCAGAATCTTCCTCATCACAGGGTTTTGGCTGAAATAACACGATTTTTCTTAAGGAAAAGTAAGGACGAAGAGGTAAGCTCTTTGAATCTTTGCTCATTTGAGATGAGTTCCTCTCATTGCTATTTGCAGTTTGTCTTATTTAGCAAGAGGCGGTAGATTATTCAATTAACGAGTTTTTGAGCTTAGGTGTCACCAACTGAGGCTTTGTCTGCCCTTGATGAGTGGAACAATATCTTTCGGACAGTGGAAAGATTCGATAAACCTGAAGTATGGGTCTCATCTTTTCTGTCTAATACTCACTTCAGCATCCAGAATGTGTTTCAGAAAGTGTCATGTTTTGGATCAGTGCGCGCTCTGTGCATTGCGCTACGAATGCATTTTGAGTATGCGAGAGGTGAGTTATAGAGGGTTTGGTATTTTACCTTGTGGGAAGGGGTTGAAGCGTACGCACCGCGCATAGTGTCTTCTAGGAAGGCTTCATACCGTTGACTTCTAGGAGTCCGCAAGCGCTTATGGGAGTCTATACCTGGCTCGAACACGGTGTGAAGCCGTACCTTCCTAGGTAGGGCGCTATACTGGGGGTCTTCCCTGCATGGTCGGATAAATTCAGCTAATAAGGGAAGGATACCAACATGATCTGGCAAACCAGAAAGAGATGTATATTATTGGAAGCATCTGCAAACGTTGACTCCAAATCTGCTTTCGGTTTCTGCGGAACAACTGTCCCGAAGAAGTTATGGGCGTTCAGAAGTCCAAATTTGTCAAGTTTTAAATGGCATAAAATTGATGAAAGCGTACTAAATACGTGAAAATGGGTTACTAGTTTTGTATTAAGTATACTGACTGTAAGGACGAAACACAGCCAGTGGAAGTTCGCTCGGTGTTTTTTAGAGCTTTTCGTTAATTTTAGTCCACTTTGAACAGGCAAATTTGGACTCAACGCTCATAACTTCTTTTGGAGAGTTGTTCCGCAGAAGCGGAAAGCAGATTTTGAATAACCGTTCAAAGGCGCATCTACTGATACATATTTCTTCTTGGTTGTTTGCCGTATTATGTTGGTGTCCCTTGATGGATAACTGTGTGAACATTCAATTTCATGCTTATGTGCTTTGTCATGCACCATTTTATACTGACAAATAAATTTGCAGCTTCGAAAACGTCAGATCACTGGCTGAAGGAATGCGATGCATTATACAAACTGGGTTTGAGCGCAGCGAATGATGATAGAGCCATGATTGTAGGAGCTTTTCTTGATGTACTTGAATACCATTGGGTGAGTCGTCAGTTCAGTTCAGCAAGGTTATGGCTATTCAGGTTTTTTCTTTCAGAAAAACTACCATACACATAAGGAAAAGTTGTTGTCGGTGTTTGAAGAAGGTCAAAAACTTATTCCTTACGATGGATCGCTCATTCGAAGGTAGGTCGAGAGCAATGACAGTCACAGGATTTCAGTTTGAGGGGCGGGGAGGAGGTCAAGATAAAAATAATTTTCCGAAGGAAGATGCATGAATAATGCTACACATTCCGAAAAATATGATTGTATGAATCCAATTTTGCGGACCCATAACTCCGATATTTTAGAAGAAGTAATATTTGTAAAATTTTTAATCAGTAACCAATTCTAGAGGGGACGAGTGGCGTAGTGGTATGAGGCGCCGCTTTTACCAGATCGGACACAGGTTCGATCCCCGCCCTTGGGCCAACCAAGCCTTCTACCCTCTGGGGCCGGTAGATTGGTACCAGAGTAATCTGGAAATAGGCTCGCACGCATACAATTGCCTCTTCAACTATGAAGTAGTGTGGCGCATGCCCGCATAGGGTATTGAAGACGCCGAGCCTTTATCCTTTCAATCAATTCTAGGAGAATTTTTTCAACATGCGTTTCCCCCCCCCCCCCCCCCCTGTCCCCTTCCCACTCCTCCGTCCGTCACTGGTAGAGGATTTTCGGATGAACCGAACTGTATCCTTGAAGCTGCAGAACTATTTCTCAAATAGTAGCGGAGCAACCACTGAGTCATAGGGTACAAGCTAGTGAACAGATCCCTTGAAACTGAAAAATTGCCTGAGTATGCACCGCTAAGTAGACATTCAGACACGCTGAGGGCTGATCTAGCTAGTGGTCACATCATGCTAAGCATGACGTCTTATTGTTAGTACTTACGAGAGGTCGCTGAGTACCAGAATAATCAGTTTAGGACAATTTATGTTGAAAACGCTTATATGGATGGATCTGGCAGTTTCAGCAATACATGGGAGCGGTAGTAAACTCTTCTAAGCGAAGATACATGGCTTAGTTACACCCCTCAAAACTGATACGTACAAAGCTGTCATTATTGTTGGGAGATTCTAACAATGAGCCCCGAGAATCTTTTCTTAAAAATTTTATATATTAGACTGTACATGTCATCGTTTTCTAGACGAATGGCGTGATCATAATGGTTGACGGCAGCGTATTGGCAAAGTGGGGGTGCCTTGGCGCTTCACAGCGCTGCTACAAACCCCTCCCCATACTTTCTTTCACCTGCAGATGATTGATAATAGGAAATATTCAAAAGCTTTTGTCAGCCAACCTCTTTTTTAAAATATCTCGGTTATACCTCAGGAAAGCGTTCCGAAAAAACTACTCTAACTTTTTTCGTTTCTGCTTTTCCCGATAAAATATTCCTTGGATTGCCATTGCTATCGGTACGTACAAATAAAAGATCGACCATCAGTCACCCACTCATCTCTCCGGTGGCAGACGGTCTAGATTGAATAGTATTAGTTTCAAGGCTCAGTACTGCGAGCTGAATACACTTGGTTGAGCTTATTCTTTTTTACCCTTGGGATAAAAGAAATCATCATGTTCTTTTATTGGACTACAAAAAATAAATCGCTTTTTGAAACAGAGTGTATGCGGCTAGCATTAAAAAGACACCTTCCGCAAGCAGTATTTAATTTCATCTCATGATGTATCCAGTATGGTTTTTAGGCGCATCAATCTTACGACAAGCTTGATGGAAAAATTCAGAATCGAACACATGTTTTCTAGTTCACCGTCTAGGAAAGGTAAGTGTTTTCTTCATATTTGCAAGGAGTATCTGAACATAAGTTTGTTACAGATCCCACACTTGACATGTACTCGTCTTTGGCTCGTCTTTATCTGCAAAAGAACAGGATCACAAAATTGTTTGTAAGTCACATTCTTGTGCTTTGTTCAACGTTCTATAATTTTTATTCAAGGAAGCTGGTGCACTGCCGAATTCTGATGTTTTTGCGCTTATCACGCGTGCAGAAGCATCTGCAAGACGGGATCCTGCTCTTTGGCGTTTAGCGATGGCTCAGGCGAGAAGCTCGCGATTTTTGAGCGAGGTACTGAGATGTTACGATGTTTTGATAAGCGAACATAAAACATGGCATCTTGTGTCTCTTTTAGACCCATGTCCTGGCCTCGGCTCAGTGCGGCTGGTCACGCAATCTACACATTGATTGCATTGCTCTTTGTGATAATACGAAGAAATGCAAGGAAATCATGTATGTTGTTTTGGCGTGGTTGTACATTCTGCGCATTTGTGATATTTTTCCAGGAGCCTTATGGAGGAACGCGGAGTTCATGTATTCAACGAATTAGATTATGTCGAGGAACTGAAAAAAAGTGATCCAATGGAGCTGTGATCATTTCACTTCGTTCCCTATGTTCTGGGACGTGTAGGACATTGACAGTATCTCGCGCTCGTCGGTACGGTGCGTCTTTGAAGGTCTCACATTTCATGTATCTAAGTAATTTTCGCAGTGATTGTGTGAGATTTGTTGAGAAAAATACATGCTTCGCCACATGAGGAAGTTGAACTTTATTTGCAAAGAAGATCTAATGTAGTAAACGTGGCTCCATTGACATCTTACAATCAGTCCTTCCATCCTATCAATTTCATCTTCATGGAGATAAACCAATTTGTGCCAGAAAGCGCTTAACAACTGCATTGGGCAACTACTGATTTGCCCACAATTTCTTGAGATTTCTGGTGCCTTTTTGCATATCTCTACTCAGCAAGCATTGATTTGTAAATGTTTGAACCTATTTCTTTCCAAATAAATAGTGCCATTTTGCCTTTTATTAAGATAGTCAGATACATAATAGCAATCTAGCAAGTGTCCTTCAAGGCCCCGGGCAATTCCAATCGCGACACGATTTGGCAATTTTTCAGTTGTTCATAAACCATTCTAGGCGCATTGAATGTACAGAAAATAGTTTTTTTTTATTGATCTGCGAGTATGGGCTTTGTGGTCTGTGAGTGTTGCATTTGAAGACATTTGTTAAATTGCTAAATCGCTTCTTGATTGAAGTTGCGTGAAGCGTGCCCGGAGCCCAGTGCTTATGTGATTAAGGTCTTTTTGCTGCTTTTCTTATGATCTTTTATATGGTCGCTGTTTTCTTTTTTTTGCATTGAATTTGCGTTGTATCATATTAGAATGCATTATGTCCTGCTTTTTTAATAAATGAATTGCATTTCCTATACAGTCAAGTTATACTGTTCGTTATCAGCATTACTTGAGCCTTTGCTTGAATTAGAGGTTAGTTTTCAAAAAAAATATATCTTTCTCTATCGGTATACAGATGTCGTCCGGCTTTGACACAGCACTGAACATCGGTGGTACCACGCAAGAATCGCAAGGCTTTAGCTTGCATATGTTCAGGTGAGAATTTTGCTAGCCTGAATGCGACAAAGTGATCGAATTTAGCAAGCCAACGATAGTCTTGGCCCACGTTGCTTTCAAAGGGGCAGCGTTGGCTTACTACTTCCTCGCCAACTGGCTGTCATCTTCCTTTATTGTTCAATTTCTCGTAATTGTAAGTGCTTTCATGCCTTATTGACTCAAAGAGTGGTCTGCTTTAGCTGACTCTTCTTTCTATGGACTTCTGGACGGTTAAGAATATCACTGGGAGATTGCTTGTCGGTTTGCGATGGTGGAATTTTGTTGACGAAAATGGCAACAACCACTGGAAGTTCGAAAGTGCTAAGGTACTTGTTTACTTATCTCACTTCTTATATCACTTGCTGCTTGCTAGGACACTTCTCGTTTTCCCGTTCTTGATCGGCGTGCTTTTTGGATTGGTCTTGTACTAGGCCCTCTTATGTGGCTGTTCTTCGTCACCATGGCATTCTTCACATTCAAGGTATCTAAACCTGTTGGTTTGTTATCGCAAGATTAACTACCGTGTTTTTAGTGGGAGTGGATGATCATTGCTCTTTTGGGCTTGGCTATGAATTCGGCTAATCTTTACGGTTACTTGCGGTGTCGATGGTCGGACACAACACAGTTTACAAATTACATATCCAAGTGGGCTTTCCTATCGGTAAGTATGCTTTACTTTCGTGGTTGGCCCATTTTGTATTCTTAGGCCTCAGTGGTGGTGTTTTTTTGTCAATTCAGAAGTTGTGTTTTTCTAACACATACCGGATGTCATGAAAATGTAGCATACGGGCGATCTATATCATTAACTCTGCTCGAACAACTTTCGCGCATCTCTTGGTAACGAGTAGGGCTGGGTTGAACAAAAATCTGCAGTATGAATCGAATTACACATCCCTCTTCACTGCTGTAGAATCAAAGACAGGGGCAATAGTCAGTTGATCAGTTGATATTTCAGATAAATCAGACTAATATTGATTTCATTATGAAATTTTTAAATGGTGGAAAAATCGCCGTCACGGTTCTGTGGAAACTTTTGAACTGAAGATTGCAGTGAATCGAAAACCTCCAATGAATCCAGACCTGTGGCCGGATTTATCAGCGAACCCTGAGGGTTACCACTACCCTCAAAAATAGGTTTTACCCTCAGGGCTCGTTGGTCATAATCATCGACGAACCCTTTAGAGTAAGGTTTACCCCGGAAAGCGATAAACCCTTATTCAACGAAACTTGAGGATAAATCCTATCCTTGAGCGTAAACCTTACCCTCAAAAGCGATCGACCCGTATTTACGAACGTGGCTCATCAAGACAAGTTTAATTCTAGCATTGAGCAAGATACTTTCGTACAAACACCAAGTGATCTCTCGATGCACCACTCATTCCTAGTTTTTTGACAGCAAACTTAACCATAGTTACAACTATCTCAAACATCCTATTGCCTCTTTTCATGTTTTCCTTCAATGCTATCATCCGTATTATAGTCGGCCGAGTCGTTACATCAACAGATTTATCCTTGAATAAAGTTCATGTCCATTTAAGGGCTTTGATACGGTGAGCTTAAAGGCACCCTAAGTTGACGGTGTTGAGCTTTTAGCAGCATATAATAGTAGGGCCCCCTATCAATCCAGTGCCCAAATCGCGGCGCAAAATGCTGCCTCGGAAACGAGAAAATCGCTCTAGAATAGGGAAGATGCACGTGGACTCCCATCCATGCCCGCCCCTCCCCATCCACGCCCGCCCACTATACTTGGGACCGAATCGAATAATTATTCGATCATTTGAATAAATCATTCGAATGCGAATGATTCGAAAAATCGAATATTCGAAAATCTGAGATTTCGAATAAAATTCGAAAGTCGAATATTCGAAATTTTCAGATTTCGAATATATTCGATAGTCGAATATTCGAAAATCTTCATTTTCGAATATTATTCGAAAGTCGAATATTCGAAAATCTCAACTTTCGAATATTATTCGGTAGTCGAATACTCGAGGGTCATTCATTCGATCATTCGATGTCCATCAAATATTCGAATATTCGTTGATCACCGAATATTCGGAAATTCGATAAGAATTGACTATTCGAAAATTCGATAAGCACCGAGTATTTGAAAATTCGGTTTGCAAAGCGTATACGGGGTGTCTTAAAAGTATCTACACACCGTTTAATCGCTAATACCTCTCAAAGTCTTTTGCCAGTTTCTGGGTAACATCCAGTAGGAATGGCTTCAGCTTATAAATACAGCAGAAAGCGAATCACCCATGTTTTTCTTATTATGTGTTATCACGGTAGGAAATTCCAGCATATAGACCAACTGCAAAATAAGACATTAAAAAAATTGTCCCCAAAAAAGGTCCAAAATCTGTGCAGCAGTGTTTTTACGTATGCTGATTTTACTACGCACGAGTTTTTAAGCTTTTCAAATAGCAATCACATTTTTGAGAGGCATTGCAAAAAACTTGTTACGGTATACCTGGAGTGAGTTTTGGAAAAAGCATTACGGTTGAGTGCAAATTCTACATAAAGCGAGTGTCTTTAACAGTCTAATGCAAGACCTTCGGCCCTTTTGGTTCTTTTTCTTGGGGAAATGGCTCTTGATGTTTCAAAACCCGCTTCAATCTTAAGGTAACTTGATAACAATGAAAAGCGATTGATAAGTCGCCTCATACTCTAAGTTGATGTCAGCCTACAGATCTACATACTCTTGGGACCGCTGTATATCCAATCGCAACTCTCAGTGAGGGTATATAATCTTCTTTGAAGTACGAAAAATCTCTTCATAACCGTCACCAGGAATAGCTTTTGGGTAAGTCTCTTCACGTCACGACTAAACCGTTTTTCCATCGTAAATTGTAACATAAGAAAGTGACCATTCTTAACATTTGGATGAAACAATTTATTCTTAGATGTTTTATACTTTCATAGGCAGTCTCAATGATGTAAATTACTCGATCAGTATTCGAAAATCGAATGATATTCGAAAATCAAATAACATTCGAGGACCGAATGATATTCGAAATTCGAATAACGAATGGTATTCGATATTCGAATATTATTCGATTCGAAATTTTCATTTTCGAATAATATTTGATAATCGAATATTCGAAATTTCCGATTTTCGAATAATATTCGAAAGTCGAATATTCGAAATTTTCGATTTTCGAATAATATTCGATAGTCGAATATTCGAGAATTTCGATTTTCGAATGTTATTCGATATTCGAATATTCGAGATTTTCAATTTTCGAATATATTCGAATATTCGAAAAAAATTTCGAATTTCCCCAAGTATACCGCCCACCCGTGCGCGCCCAGCCAAAAACACCGTTTCGGAAAGCCGCCTGAGGGTCCTCGGAATGGGGATTATCGGGGTTTTCGCGGATTCTCGACTTCATGATCGGAATTAGGGACACGAGAAGGCTCCGGAACTATCAAAACATGGAAGTCGAGAATCTGGGTGAACGGGTGCCTTTGAGCTCAGGAGCTCAGAAAGTCTTCCGTAATATGAAAATTCCTCATTTAGATCTTATTCAGCCAATATACTGGTTCAGTAAATGATTTGATACATGATCGAACTATCACAGCTCAACAAGGTAAACTTGAAGCTGACCAGCAAAATATTAGGTTGTCCGGAAATTAATGTCCGTTTTGAATTTCAACCGCAATAGGTCTTACACTTCTCATTTCTGAATAGGTTGCAAGATACCATTCGATAGAGTAAAGCAAGCTCTACGGGATGGTGATCATATTGTAACAGCTCATTAACCTTTAGTTCCGAGCCAAAAACTAAAATGAATCAGCTGCAAGAAAAGTTGAAAAAAAATCGTAACTCAGTTCATAAAAATCCTACAAAAATCCTAACTTGCTCACGTAGAGACTATCCACATAAGATATCTATTTACGCCGTTGTCGTCTTTTTTCACCTTTTACGAATAAAGAAAACTCAAATTTTCGTACATTTGCCAAAGTGATGCTGTGCCGTCCCCACGTGAGTAGTTATATACAACAAACCTGTAGAAGTACAGACGTAAATTTTCAGCTCTCTACAAGCTTTGGTTCTCCAGAAATATTGAATTTGGTTTTCCCTACTGTGGTTCCAAGCCAAAATTCAAATTTCTCGAGGATTAAAGGCACCGTCCATCCAAAATGGAGGTTGGCGAGAGTATGATGGCATACTAGTGTGGGCCCCCACACTAGGCAAACCCCCAAGCTTCGCCGCAAAAGACTGGAGCGAGAAATCCGCTCCGGAAGTAGAAAAGTAGGCGGGGCGACCTCGGTCGCCCCGCCCACTTGCATGCTTTATCGCGCCTGTGCTTGTTGCACAGGTTCTCGAAACAGGGATTTTTGGGGTTTCGCGGACTTTCGACTTCATATTCGGAATCAGGGCTTCCAGAAGGCCTGAAAGCGACAAAAACATTGAATTCGAGATTTTGGGTGGACGGTGCCTTTAAAGCTGGTGGAGAGCTGGAAATTTACGTTTTTAACAATACAACTATTCATGTGAGGACTGCACCGCTTCACTTTGGAAAATGCACGAAAATTTCCGTTTTCTTGATTTGTAAAAGGTGAAAAAAGACGGCAGCAGCGTAAATAGATGTATTATGTGGACAGTCTCTACGTGAGCAAGTTAGGATTTCTGTAGGATTTTTATGAACTGAGTTATGATTTTTCTCAATTTTTCGTGCAGCTGAATCATTTAAGTTTTCGGCTCAAAACTAAAGGTTAATGAGAGTAAAAATAAGATCACCATCCTGTAGAGCTTTTGCTCTATCGAATAACCTTGTAAGTTATTTAAAAATGAGAAGTATATGACTTATTGCGGTTGAAATTCAAAACAGACATTAATTTCCGGACAACCTAATACTAAAAAAATCCTAGTTTTTGTTATATAATTAGACGATACGAAAAGAGGACTTAGGGAATATGAGATATCAGTATTTAGAAACATTAAGAAATATGTGTTTTGTCAAAACAGTATTGTGTAGACTTAACCTTACTTTATGCTATGTTAAATCTAACCTGATGAGCCACGTTCGTGAATACGGGAATCGCTAGGGTATGGTTTACTCTCAGAGTGGATGATGGTTGATGAATACAGGTTAATCGCTTTTCTGGGTAAGGTCTACCTCAAGGACAGGTTTAACTCTTGAGGTTAAACCTAGCCTGTGCTTTGAGAATACGGGTAGAGTTCGTTGACGAATACGGCCACTATAGTAATATATGCTTTGGCGGAATACTCTTGCAGTTTTTATTGCAATACTATGGTAATGAAGAGGGACCACTTATATGTTCTCTTTTGTGACACTGAGTTGAAGCCAGCCCTACTATACAGTATTTGAGTTTCGCAAAAGCTTTTTAAAAAGAAAGTCTTTAGCAGTCTAACGTTTAAACTATTTTTTGGAACACTCTGCAGTGTGATTAACAAAATCCTTTGAACTCACAACTTCAATGCACCTCGCTTTCAGGTGCTTCGTCGACAAAATCCGTCAGGTGCCGATACTATGCAACAGACCATATAATTTGGAGGAAACTCGATCTTACTATAACATAATCATATGCATGTGTATCAACATGAATTATCAATATCACCTCCAGGGTTTCAGATTGGTTTTGCTTTAAAGACTAATATTTTTTGTCGTAAAATTAAAGACTAATATCTTTTGTCGTAAAATGTCTTAGAAATTTGGGACAATAAACGGTTTCGTTTTGACGGGATTCTTTGGGAGAACTACATAGTAGAGCATGGCCGGAACTGGATATCTTCTAAGCTATAAGCTGCTGCAAGACGAAGGCGCAATATCTTCTGGCGCTTTTTTAGCCGCGGAGTGCATGAGGCGCAGGATTTGTAAACGGTGAAGGTACGCGCGTCATGTTCGCGTCCGCTCAACTAATACTGCTTTTGCGCCTTTGTCATGCAGTAGCCTTTACGGTTGGAGTTGCTTTACTTACGAGTTCTCATGAGGCAAGATCATAGGGAAGCCACACTCACAAGCAGGAACCTGTCTTGGCACTTAACCAAGCCCAGGGCATGTGGCTTCAGCCTCACCAGACTTTGCCAAAAACTTCACGACAGACCTAGGAAGCTCAGATTAGTTTTGTTAGAAATGGGAAAAATGACCAAGGCTACGGGAAGATCAATTTAGAGGGGTCTCAAGAAAAAAAAGAATACCTTTGTTATCAAGAAATGGAGATAGATCTAATTTTGATTAAGTTCAAGCATTCAGTGGTAGTTAGCTTGATCAGATTAGTTTTGGTAGAAATGGGGAAAATGAACAAGGCTGGAGGAAGATCAATTTGGTATCGTACTGCAAGGATCATATCGCCATTTAAAAAAGCTGATTTTTTTGGAGAAGTTCCTGATCGTGTCGATCAAAATATTTAGTCGGTGGTTTGAGCACTCCATCTGTATACACGGAGATCAGAAGACAATTTAGTCGAAGAAATGATTGGTACTACTGATCTCACTCACGGAAATATTAAGTTGGCCCAGAAATTTGTTTGCATCATTTTTTGAAAATTCGCAATTTTGCTTTCTGCATGGATTTGTCTGTACTAACTTTGTTGAAATCGGGAAATCGTTTAGTTTCTAGTGATAACTTTTTTGCATTCTGTCAAGCACAGATCGCAGAGTAAATGCAAGAGGAAGATCACTTAAGTTTCGGTGATATCAAGCAAGCTCTCAAAAGTCCAAAAACGTTACAAAAATACCGAAACAACATTATCATAGGCTTCATTATTTCCTCTTTCCTGCGAAGCAAAAATTGTGCTGGTGGACCTAAAAAGTTATGTTTTTTGAGAGAAACTCTCCGTGTTTTCACGAAAATGAAATTGCTTTCGATCAGCATGAATTTTATTCAGCTAGAAAGATGAGGTCATGAAACTTAGGTTTATGACTGTTTCGATCCCGCTCTGATGCTTTTGGACTTTTCTAGGCTTGCTAAAAAAATGCCATTTTTAAGTAATGATTTTCATTTGCTTCCAACTCTAGAACTAACTCATTTTGATTTCAGGCGAAGGTACTGCTTGCTCAGATGTTTGCTTTCAAACAAACATACTTGTAAATTTTTTCGTGCAGCAGCTTAAAAATTCCAATCTTGATCGAATTTCTTCACATTTTTCTCACTCTAGAATTTTCTCATACTAATTTACGACAGAGGCAATCTGTAAAGAACATGACTTCTTTTTTCAAAACAAATGACTCAGATCTATCATCCACTCCACGTTTCGTGTAGAGGCGGGATTTCGCCAACTCAAAGCGTGGCGTTTCTTGATAGCGAGGGAGTATGAAAGACAATGCTATGACGTGGAGGTTCAACAAGTTCACCCTAAAAATAGGGGAAGTCCGCAACCCACCTCTACACGAATCGTGGCGACGATCATACATGGAAACAAAAAATTTCGAAAAATTTGAATAAGCTATGCAAAAAAAGTTTCCCCGCGGGCGTGACTACGTCACGCCTCTTTTGCTTGAGATTTTGAGACATAGGCCCTCAAAATCTCGTCGGAAACAGCCCAAGACCTTTATTCAAGGGCTTAGTTAACTTCATGCCCCTCCATTCAAAAAAAAAGTCCCTTCATTTCCCCCCCCCCCCCCCCCACCCCATCCAAAAATATTCGCTCGCGCCACTAGATTTATCGAAGAACATAGAAATCGCTTGAGAATCATCTGTATCCGAACTTTTCTGCACCTCTTTTTCCCAGAAAAATTTTCTGTACTGTCAAAGGGACATTTGATTTACTCATCATCAATATACAGAAGCGATCCGTCGGAGAAAAGCTATGTCGCTGCATGGAAAATACCCGTGCGCAATTAGGTACAATAATCGTTTTTTTCCAAAAGTAGTCTCATATGTACAAATATCAACAACATGAAACAGGAATGTAAGTATGGCACGGGCGGAAACAACAACCTACACATGGAGTTAAAGGTTCTATTAGATGTTGGCATCACGTTTGTGAGACCATCACGTAGCAAAAATACTGTAGAGTTCTAACTTGTGTAACTAATACTGAGACCGTAAAAATTAGTCAGAGGATCAAGACCTTATAATGGCCGGCTAAGGGTTGTTTACGTGTTTTTGTGTGTGTGTCTGTGTGTGTTAGTCTGTTACGAAATTCGTAAAGCGTCTTCCAGCCAGTGCTCTAAGCCCAAATTCTGCGTAGCGCATGCTCCCTTCATGAAAGTCTAACATGCAAAAGAGTAGATTGGTTGAGTGGATCCCTCAGAAACTGCGCGCCAGACGGATCCACCTGGCTTCTGTCCCGCAAAATTGGGTCCGTATCACCACTTTTTGCGAAGTCTTGGGTGTGTTTGGTTAGCAAATGTGCAAGCGATGGACTTTAGCCCGAAAAGTGGTCAAAAGTTTACTACATAACGAAAACGGCGCCAAAAAGAATTGGTTGCGTTAATGGTCAATTTGCCAAGGTTCTAGCCAAGCATTTCAGAAGATTTTCGCACAGAGATGTAGCTCACTATTACTACTGCCTTTATAGCGACTACCAAGCCATGACAAATTCAAAAACCTATTCAAATTTGCGTTTGTCTTCCTGTGAAAAGTTTCATCCACGCGAAATCACCGATCTCAGGTGAAAAAGCTTTTTAAATGAGTAGTTGTTTACATTTCATTCGTGTTAGTCGGCATAGCGCGGTGAGTTCCAGTGCCACAATTCTAGGAGAATGAGTAAGACACATAGATAGTAGGGCCAGTGCGAGCCTCTGCGAAGCAGAGGTGACGCATTGGTCAAATAACGGGATTGTAGATACATGTATAGCCAATTATCATCATCAAAAAAGTATCTGGCATGGCAGAGGCAGTGCGATGGACCGCAAGTCGAAGAGTGGAAATTCAAATTTTTCAGGCCCAAGCGTGTTGTATGTAGAAATTTCATCAAAGTAGGAAACAAATAATTGTTTTGAGAGCTGAATTGTCTGCACACTTCACGCTTATAATCAGAAGTGCGTGAGATACGAAACAAGGAAAAAGGTTCTTGGGTATCAAGCGGAAGCGAGTGGAAGGAGCGGCAGCACCTCCGCAAGAACAACGGAGGGGCACCGAGCAAGCCGAGGATGGCCGACCAAGGAAGTAGGGCGAGCAGGAGCAAGGGGACCGAGGTGCCCACAGAGAACCAAGGAGCAAGAGCGCAGAGGGGCGGAGCAAGAACCCAAAAGTCCGCAGGAGAACACCCCCCCCCCCCCTCCAACAACCCGAACGCGGCCACAAAAAACAGCAAAATCTCCCCCAAACCACGTCCCACCTTAACCAACCCAACCAACATCCGCATGTATGTCCTCGCGCCCGCCGTCGCCCCGGCCCCACCCACAGAATCAATCCACTCTGTCCCAGCCGCCATAGCACCACCGTCCTGCACGGAGAGGGAACCGAACCCGCAATACCAGCCCGCTAGTCCAATGCGCAATCCAATCGACCATTCACCAAATACCTGGTCAGTGTTCTTGATTGTTATCTAGCTTTTGGCTTTCTTGCTCGCAAAACAGATTCATACTGTTTGTAGTTCCCGAACATCCTATCTGACACATCTGAGTCAATCGCTTTATCTACTGAACATACGCGCACAGCTCCACGCGCCTTATCGCTCATATTAAATAACTTTATCTAAATGGGATGAATTATTTAGCTGATGTCAAAAGCCTTAACTACTTCTTACTAGCCGTGCCTCACGTCTTACTTATTATACTGCATGAGCGCAAACATTTTTTTCTACTTGTAATGGGCTGGCTCAAAAATTTAGGAATTTAGTACTTTGCATTTTTGTGCACAATCAGTTCAAACGCCAAATTGGCGTGAATACGAATTCGGTTTTGTTGCGGTTATGATTTAGCTGCCATCTTCATGCAGGTCCTTTCGAGGAATCGAGCATCTCTTTCAATGTATTATATATACTGAGCGCAGCTAGGAATGAAGTAATCTTGGTAAACTTTTCAAATGACAATACCAGAAACTTTTGAAGGGGATTTTGCATTCAATAGTGTATATCAGAACATGTTAGTACATATAGGCTGCTGCATGACGAAGGCGCAATATCTTCGGGCGTCAACGCGGCTTTATTAGCCGCAGAGCGCGTGAGGCGCTGGATTCATAACGGTGAGGATACGCGCGCGCCGCGTTCGCGTCCGCTCAAGTGATACTGCTTCTGCGCCTTCGTCATGCAGTGGCCTTTACAAAGAATATTAGGCTGTCTCAAAAGTAAACCGTATTTCTATAATCAAATTGTTTTTGTTTTCCTAGCATGACTAGAGTACCATTCGATAGAGCGAAGCAAGCTCTACGAGATGACAAACAAAGATCCGTCTAGTTGTGATCCAGGTAAAACTTAGACCCAAAAATCAAAGATTTTCAACAACAAAAATCGGATCTCCTTCCAAGGGATTCCTACGGATCTACTTGTTCATTATATAATGGACACATAGCAGTAACCAAAACTGTATATGTTGAATTTTTCCGGAGGTTTTGAATTTAAACTTGGTATTTCTCGATTACCAAAGCAGAAACAAGGGTAAAATTGTAAGGTTATACTTAGTAAGGCTTTCAGTATACACTGACACATGTGGGAGGGGAGGGGCGGAGTTTGCTTATTTTAAACTAACTCTTTTTCCGCTTTCTAAGGGCGGGAGAAATCGGTAAAGGCATATTTGAGTACTGTTATGTGTCTGCTCTATAATGGCCATGTTTGAGGTCCCTAGGATTTTTTTCGTAGAAATCCAATTTTCAGGTGGTAAATTTTTTTCGATTTTTACTCCAAACTTAACCTGGATTATGAGCTAGGCTCGTCTTTGGTGATCATTTTGTAGAGCTTGCTTCGCTCTATCGATTGATACCATAAGTCTACTAGAAAAACGAAAGCAGTTTGATTAATTTAGAAATGTTTACTTTTAGGACAACCTAATAGAAGGCATTTTTAACTACATTAAGTATGAGCATGAACTAATGTGAGTGAAAACGTGACAAATTTCCATTTCACGGCCTCGTGCTACTTGTTAAGCCACCTGTTGTAGCCTATGAAGAAAAACATGTTTTCCTTACCTCACTAATTCTGACCCCTTTTTACCATTTCAAATCCTAGAAACTAGCCCCTAGGCCTTGACTTTACCACTCTGCTTAGTTAACTACAGCTCCTATTACTGAATGGTGGCAATCCCGTTTTGAGAATACGCTGGTACACATCAAATATATGCCGCTAAAGCAGACAATGCTCTTCTAATGCGTGTTTAGTGTTCTGTTCTGTTTCTTTCTCAGTTCTGATTTTTTTGTATGAGCACCGGTAGGGTGTCATGATCTGCGAAGTCAATGGAGACGTTTCCAGTAGTGTGGGGCCACCACCTCAAAGCTCTGCGCCAGCGGCTTCGAAGCAACAATATGCGCCGGATGATTACGCTAGGCATATTACATGGAGCTTATAAAAATTTTAGCGAGGCCTTAACAGTGTTTATCAGTTAGTGAATAAATTAATTACAGGAGTTATCCACAGAAAAACAGGCAGTTCAGCATACTCCTGGGAATGAATAGAGATATTATGTATGGAGAAGGGACATATTTCAGAACTTGCTCGACAAATGAAAAGCAAAAGTGAGATCATTGAGAGAAGTTTCAGAGAATCCAGCAACAGATTTGAAGTAATCCCATGTTTCCGTATGTTCAGGTGAGTAATGTCGCCAACGAAACAGCTCAGCCATGGTAGCTGGCTAAAAGTAGTACGGCTTTATCGTTACTTATTAACGAAGACCATACCTCATCTACTACCGATGAGGCGGATGAATCAGTTGCTTTGAATTCTTGTTCGTTCCTTTCAAAATCGTCTTCTTCGCACTTTTCATGAACAAACAGGGATTCTTCATTTTCTGAAAACGGCTCTTCCGAGAGAAAGAAATTTTGCAGGCATGAGGTGAGGTCAACTGAATTCATTTTGTTCTCAAGAAATTTACCATCGCAAGCTTCCTCTTCCATTTCGGTCAAAAGTAAACCCATTCCTCCACACTGACAGTTGAGCAGCTCATGAGTCTCGCATAGACTCTCCTTGACACTGAATATATCTTCAAGATCCTCGTCAAGGAATGTCGATTTTGCTGTAAAAAACGCAAATGAAGTAAATAACGAAAATAAAAAAAGTCAACTGATGTATTACATGATTGGTCATTGAGACTTATGATTGAAGACAGTCCCGTTTTCTTCACTTGCCTTTGGAGAATTTTTTCATCAATAGTACCCTGAATCAGTGGACTCTTGAGTTATATTCCCATATCCTTATACTGCGTGACCTTACCGCAGTCACCAGTCTGTATATATGACAAGGTCTGGTCTGTCCATCTCTCCAGATTCTTGCCATGGCTTGAAGATCCGAGGCTGGGTTCCAGTCGGAATCGAAGAGTATGAGTCTGGACGCGCCAATAAGGTTTAGCCCAACACCTCCTGAAGCGCAGTATGGTCACTTTCGTAATAAAGAGGACCACCTTATTTGTCCAGAAAAAGCGACTGTGTGCGAAAGAAGCAAGCAGTCACAGAATCAATAGGGCAAAAAGGAGTGAAAAACTTTGGCTGTCTCCATAAGGACAGAAACAATTTATTTTATCAAGTTGAATCGCTTTGTGAAAGCTTTTTGAAGATGTTAACTGGTTTAACAATAAGGCTTCGGAATGAATTTTCAATACGAGAAAAAAAAGAATTCTGCTGTAAGCTGTAGGCGCAAAATCGATCCGAATGCCTACTCTCATTGGTCTATCTTGAATGCTCGAAAAAAACATTACCTGCTTTTGTACTGAGTAAAAATACATTTTCCGGATCGCGTTCTGCATTAAATTTTGTGACGAGCGCATGCCGATCAGAAACGGGTGTTTGTCCATCTAATCTGATAACACATAAACCAAGCGAAGAACATAGTGAAGCAAGCATGTCCAGTGTCTAAATCAGTACAATGAGCCAATGATAAGATTTACGCAAAATTCCTGCAAGGCCTCGGACAGAGATCACGCGATTTGATCGTCGCAATTTAATCGCCGCGATTTTCATTCATTTTCACTTTACATTCAAAAATTTCGAGCTGAAAAGTACCACAACCAAATGCAAGCTGATCGGCATGCAATGAACTCGTAACACTTGTCTAGTAGCGATTGAAACGCGACGATCAAATTGCGTGAACTCTGTCCGAGGCCCAAAGCAGTTTTTGAAAAACCTTAGTAAAATTCGAAACTACTACGGCACACTCTCCATTCTGACGAAAACTAGCCATCATTTCCACGAAGACAGCCAACTTGCCTGTAATTATATATTTCGGTAACAATTATTGATTTTAATTATTCTTATTTGTCTTACGAATAATTTTTTTACAGTCCTTGAACAGGATTTGGAAAAAAAAATTTCGTAAGAGGAACTCGCAAGCATGCAGCCGTCATGATATGCATTTATTAAAAACTACAATTTCTTGGAACTCTCATAGTAGAAAAAGAGAACAAGTCTAAATCAGTTAAAAAGACCACTTGTGTATGATGCTGAATTTTTGAGGTTACGATAAGAATTTCCATTGTCGATCCAATTGTACGGGTAAAAGCCGTAATTAAGTGATGCTTGATACTATAGAAACATGTGATATCGATCACCTGAATCTGCCAACCTCGCTGGTCGTTCACCGTAATTTTTCGGAAAAGCAGATAGCAGAGGTGAATAATCAACACGGCAATTCTGGAACATATAATGTCCTCGAAGCACCGTAATCTATATCAGCACCTCAGTGACATTCTTTGATAACTTCTTGTAGAGTATAGCTGGGTGATTTGCCGTCTTTCGCATCATGTCGATCAGCACCAGCGGCTCACCAGTGATATGCATGCAAATGGCGTTGAGGACGCATTTTTGAACAGTGGATGGAGCACAGAAAAGGATGTAATCATCTGAAGTTGAACCCTATAAGCAAAAGTGCTGATGCTAGATATGGAAAGGTTACTTTTAACTGGAAGGTGAGCATTGTTGATTTCAGCTGTTCGTCTCAAAACGCAATCGGCGATCATTGCGCTCCATTCTTCATCCTAAAAATATTATAAAAATTTTGTGCACATATTTACTAAAGGCTTGATTTGCAAAGCCACCCTATTGTCGGTGATGTCCAAACTTCAAATATATTCAGCAATCCCGCCGCTATCGTATATAAATGTACAGAATACCTCTTTCCTGCATCTAGCTTTAAATTCAGCCAAACTGCCAAACTTTGTAGGTCTTATAAAATCTAGAAGAGAATAGAATTCTTCAACATCATTCTGAAGTGGAGTCCCAGTGAGGAGAAGTCGGCGAGTCACAGCCAAAGAATCTAGCTGAAAAAGCCTCTGCATAAAGATATAGCCCGCTCAAATAGGCGCTTCTAAGTTACCTCAATCTATATATCTCTTTTTGTTTCTATTTCCATACCGAGGAAATTTTTCCTTTAATGCCAACGTGGGTCCTAGGCCTCTTCAAGTTTTACGGTTCTTCGCTCAACACTTAAGTCAAAAACGCTCCAATTCAAAAGGCAACATACTTTCCATTCTTCATACTCTATAAGCACGGAGGCGAACAAAATCTTCTTGAATCGGGGAAAAGAGGGAGCGGAGAGGGATATGACTACACTCTTTGATTTTTTTAATATGAAACCTTTCAAATTACTCGCTAGCTTACTACCATATTTCGCAGAAGAATTTGAGTTCAAAACAGAAAGTTGTAACTTCTTTCTACAAAGGTTCTGCCAGGGCTGGGCACGAGCTGGCACCAGGGAAATTTCAAAACGAAGTCCCGTTTGATATTGAAAATTTTGTACGAAGTCCCTTTTGCGCTGTTTTGAAATCCCGCATCATTTTTATATTATTGTAAAATGTAGTAGTGTTTTCATGCATTTCTTTTCACGAAAGGACTTTTCACAGCTTTCTGAGCTTTAAGTGGACGAATCACATCTTGAGAAGCAGAAAAAGCCGATTTTTCGACTGCGGAGCAGACCGAGTGGTTTTCAAATTGCTATAAAACGCTGAAAAGAGAACATTATGAAACTGTTTCTTCTCCGCATGTAATCTTTTACAGTGTAGATACATTTTATGTAAAAAAGTATGAGAACTTATGTGAGCAAAGTGTCGGTGCCAGCTCAGCTGGCACCCAGCTGGCACGGTGCCAGCTAATTCAGATAGAAGTTCGGCACAGCTTATTCACATAAGTTTTCATAAATTTTTAACCCGTAGTTCCGATCCACCAACGCGCATGCACACACCAAATTTGGTGTCATACTATTGCGTTCTGGCTGAAAACAACGCCTTTGTTTGTTGATGGACAGCTTGCCAATGGCATGCCGATGGCATGCCGCCGGCATTTTTGCGGCAGTTCTCCGCCTCGGCCCCTGTAGAAACGATATCCCCTTTGCTTTCCGCCCTAAAAACGATATCTAGCTTGACCCGGTGCTGTGTTGAGCCCTGGGTTCTGCTTTGCGCTCACAGCATGCATTAATTCTACAGAAAAGCGGCAAAAGAGGAAACACTTGCGATTCGATTACTTTAGTTACATCGTGTAAATCCAAAAGTTAGAACAAATTTCGGTGCAAGTGAAACGAGTACTGGATAGCGCTCCGGACTGTTCTGTTTTACCCGCTCTACTGGCTTGGATGATGCGCAAGTCATCTTAGAGAAATCATATAGCGTCTATCAGTACCGCAGTGGCGGACCGAGGGGGGGGGGGATAAGTTGCGAGATTATTGAGTGTAGCCTACATGAGTTCTGAAATTGTGCAAGTGATTTGATATCGCAAATAATCAAGATAGTTCTTAATGTCTTCAAAAATTCAAATGAGCACTGTGAAAAGAAAATATTAGGTTGTCCCGAAAGTTCTGTCGTTTCATTTTTGAAAATTTATAACTTTTTGCTATCTAAGCGGATTTGCGTCTTTCTGATTTCATTGGAAAGAAGAAATCTTACTCTTATAGAGGCATCTCAGTGGACTTCAACTATACATTCATTGCAGAGATAAAAATGGAAAAAGAATACTTGAGCATTGAGCATTTTAGGTTAGGTCGCCAAAAGTCTAAAACGTTGCGGAAAAACCTAAAATTGTCAGTATATAAGTTGTATGACCTAATCTTTGCATTTGAGAAAAGTTGTGCTGTTTGGGCGTTTCAATGAAAGGTAAGATTTTCGAGAAAAGTGACAAATTAATAAATTTTGGCGTTTCCTACTGTAAAGTCGAAGCTTATAACTTTCCACAGAGACGTCCAAGCAGAACAATTTTTTTCGGATGCAGAGAATAGGTTATAAAACTTACGCAGTGGCAATTTCCGATTTTTCTGTAGCATTCTAGATTTTCGGCGACCTATCTCAAAATGGTCAAAGCTCAAGCGGTCTTCTAAATCATTTTTATCTCTGCAAAATGTATAGTAGAAGCTCTTCGAGATACCTCCCCAAAGAGAAAGACCTTTCTTTTAAATAAAATGAAAAGGAAGCAAATCTGTCGAGATGGCAAAAAGTTACAAATTTTCAAAAATGAAACGTCAGAACTTTCGGGACAACTCAATATTTGGAGACGTGGCTGTCGCCACGATTCCCTCCTTCTTGAGATTATGGGGTTACGGGTCAGCGAATATTTCGGAAAGCATCCCAATTTTCCCCGGAAGGTGTTAACTTTCCAAAAAAATTTTCGTTCGTGCCTCCACCCTCGAAGAATTTCTTGAACCGTCACTGCAATCTGGTACTATTTCGGAGCAGAAAGACCCTCATATACAAGATTGTTGAGCGTTTTCAAGTCCATGTTCGTATTCTGCGCATCAGTAAGGTTTCAAGAGCAGTCTGATGAACCAGATTACTTTTAGATCTGACTCGAAAGTTTCAAGAAAAACGAAGTTAAAAACTCACCGCTAGTCGCAGCTTCGAATTGATGTTTTTCAACCGATGCCCTTCATCACATACCAGTATATCAAATCGGACGGAGATTAATTTGTCAATATATCTGAAAGATGCTGATTCTGATGTCATAGGACAAAAAATACGGAGCCTAGGTGTGGGTATTGAGTTGTCTCATAAGGGTAGAGAGCATTGGGTCACCTATTCGATAAGGCAAAGTAAGCTCTACAAGATGCCTCAAAACTTTGGTACGAAGTTGAGCCCAACTGAAATTTGAATATGAAAGCTCAAGCATTTGAAGACTTGGAAAATCACATTTTCGTACAAAAAACTACGAACCTTTAACGTGCCCAGCATAAAATCCTACATCGCACATTCTACACTTGCTTTATTTTCTCCATAATTAAAAACCTAGGCAAAAAAATTGACATGTTCTTAGCAGAGCAATAGGGCTCTTTTCACACAATTGTACCATAACTCAGGCCCAGTTAGAAAGTGACATGTGACTTTCTACAAAACATTTACAATTATGAGACAACCTATTTAACACTGTAAATAAAAACACAAAAATAAATAATTTGCACCTCAGAGCCATCTCGTAGCTGATAACAAGATATGGATATGTTTGATAGGAGCACGGATAGGTAGTGATGTCCGATGGTTTAACAGCTACAATAACCTGAAGGTTTGGTAATTTTAAGTGAAAAGTGGGAAAAGAGGACAGCTTTGGTAAAATTTGCACACCGGAGTCCTTCCTACGCAGAACCATTTCCGAAATTCACTTTTCCAATTATTCACCAACGATGACGGAACAACCAGCAGACACTTTTTGAGGCCATATCTAGTGCTCTGAATGTATACACATATCAATCGCGCACTTCATTTGAACTAAGATTGGAACTAAAAATTCATCGCATCTGCGTCTTAACGCCTCCGCACAAATCACGGATGAGAGGTGAGGGAAGGCAGAGTGTTGAGTTGGGAATTGTTATAGGTTTCAAAGTTCGTGAGAATATTGAAGTTTTATGTAACAGGCATTATGAAAGTTTAAGGTGGACCGTGCGCCATTGGAGGGAAGGTTTTTTTGTGGTGGAGGGGTGATAGCATTAATGATGATATCTTGTAGATTTTTTTCCAATTTCGAAGGAGTGCGAGATGGCAAAACTTCATAGAAAATGCAAGTTCGAATTCTAAAAACTCCAAATCATATCATTCCTATGCAAGCCTCCCACTCTCCCCTATGGCCCCGCAAAGGCGGCTTACAAGCAAGCTGGATATCGTTTTTGGGACAAAAAGCAAAGGGGGTTTCGTTTTTGTGGACGAAGACACGCAAAATTGGCGGCGTTTTTTTAGTGGACGTTTCGTTTTTTGGAGAATTTTTAGGGAATATGGCGTAGGGTCAAAGGGGACTTCGTTTTTTGCATTTTCATCTAGCCACCTCGTGCTGAGCCCTGCTCTCCCCCTTCTTGCATCGGTATTTGCTTTCCGCATTTACTCAAGAATGATGTAAAAATTAAAATGACCATTGATCTAACCTTTGGCTGTCTCATCAACGCCAGTGTTGCCGTGATTGTTTGAATACTTTTTCCCAAGCCCATTTCATCAGCCAGAATGACGCCTTTTTCATTCTGCAGAAAAACAATCACAATGGATTGAATTGCTCGAGTCTGACTAGCAGAGCAAACCTGTAGGTTTGAAAATATGAAGCGCACACCGTCTTTCTGATGTTCTCGAAGGTGTCTGCTAATAAACGTATCACCTATAACGGCTTCTTCTCCGTACTCTTCTACTCGATCCTCATTGATGATGAATGGTGGAGGCTGCATATGCTCCCAGATCAGAGAAATGCGGTAAGTATAATGCTGACGTGACCTCACCTCATCGGCGCTGGTTTGCGGCTCAAGCAGAGGACAGCGGAATTTACTTCGCGAAGTCAAGGAATCGCCTCGTTGAAAGTGTGGCTGAGTAGGAGCGATTTTCGGTTGAGGCTGTTCGCACAATGGTGATCTAGTCTTTCGTTTCAGTTCAACCGGCGCAGTCTCATGTGACAACGTAACCGATTTATCGCCATGACTCAAGGCTGTAACTAGTATTTTGCAGCTATTTCGTAGAATTTGCTTGGAAAGCACAATCTGTGTCAAACACGTGTCACTCTTTCGTAGCAACTACGCATCCGCAGCGCTTGGGAATTGCGCAGCGATCTCTGATCTGCAGAACTGGAAGCTCAAGCCAAACGCTCGCGAGCGCGGCACGGGACGCTAGCGTGCGACTGAGTTGAAAGGGAAGCACATCGTTGACACAGACTGTAGAATGGATTTCCAGACTTTGGTTCAAGTTACTGGGTTTTTGTGCTATGCGTTCTTGTATTTGTACTTCCCACACACCCATCTTGAACTCCTTGCCATCCTCCAAATCATCGATACGTTTCACGGAAGTTGACCTAGAAAGGTTAGAGGATTTCTTTATTCGACATCTTCACCATGTAGCTGTTCATGAGTATTTTCGAAAGTGGGCTGGCATGAAAGTTTTTGCGATAAGTTTTCAAGTCTCTTTAGTCTCATCACTTTGTATTACAAAAAAGTTTAGCGCTTCATGATAGATGTTCAAGTTGTTCAAGTAGCGCAGCATGATGGGGGGATATTTCCTGTAAAAACACCTTTCGAATTTTTTTTCGCGTTTTTTGGAAGATCGAAGCCTGGCAGCAATCTATGGATCACTGCTATTCCGTAAAAAACTTGCACAGATTTTTGGACCAGTTAGCGCCTCTGCGGATTTTCGAGATCACACTAAGGATTACAAATTTCGAAAATTTTTTACCGCACCGTCCTAGCGCTAATTACTTGGCCCGGGCAACGCTAATTACGTCGCCTTTCTTATAATACAGCAGTTTTCAAATAATTCTGAGCATTTAAAGGCAAGTGAGGCACACGACAATGATAGTGAGGATGTTTGAATTATGAAGACAAAAAGTTGGAAAGGTTGCATGTTTCTAATGCCATTTCGTGATTTCTACGCCCTTCCCAGTTTTCAAAGCACCATGAAGTCTGCACGTGTAAGCTGAAGAATTTAGCTAAGCCGCCCAAATAGAACATTTTCGAGTTTCATGGGAATCGAAATCTTGTTTGATTCTTTTATCATGAGAATGCCTTTGCAGTCCAATTCAGACGTCTCTAACGACAGCATAGCTCTCGCTCACCCAAGCGGCGGCAGCACCGACCAATCAGAGGCGCGCAGTAATTAGGCTGCTAATGTTAGCGGTTCAGAAGGGCCGTCTCCCAAAAACTAGCTATCCGGAGAGGAAAGCTAATCTGTGATACTTGATTCCCTCGTCGGTCAGTGTTCTACAAATTTGATGAGCGATTGAAAAAAAAGACAAAACTTTCTGGACCATTTTGACTCATTCTGACAATTGTGACGACTTCAGAAATGAAGTGAATTATCTTTTTCCTTCATCAACCAACGAGATTTCGCTGCAACTTCTTCATGGCTAGAAAATATTTGTTCGTACACTGTTACTGCAAAAATGACTTGTTAACACATCCAGAAAAGATACTTCAAACGTTCTTCCGCTCATCTCTAAAGTCAAAAAAGGGACTAACCAATCACCTTCTGATTATGCTCTCAAAACAAAAATTTTCTCTATTCCATAAAATTTACCTAGATAAGCTTAGAATCAAGCATGTTGATCAGGGGCTCATAAAAAGCATGTAAAAAGCTTCTTCTAATTACAATTTACTTAGCTTCCCAAAAGCATTGAACTTTTTTACTCTTTTCCCGACTTTACCTGCTTATTACGTCCTTTTCATCTTCGGTTTTCAGAAGGGCTAGATTCGAGTAGCAGATCAGCACTCCATCGCCCTCCCATTTCTTATGTTTCCTAGTGGATACCCTAGTGTACAGCACCGAAAAACGTGCCAATTCGATACCTGCAGTAAATTATGTGATCACAATCCACAAGCAGGTCATACACCTATACACAAGATTACCTGCATCTGGTTCCAAACTGTTGGTTCCGGTATTTTCGTATTCATACACCTGCATGACAAAGTAAACAGCAAGACTAAAAATATGCTCACAGAGATGACCCCAAGTGTAAGAGGATCTGAAGGATGACTGAGTTTCATAATTGCAACAAGTTTCTTAGGCTCTTCTCGCTAATATATTAGGTCGTTTCATAAGTTCGTAGACTTTTTATTTTTGTCGCCGTTTTTCGATGAAGCGGTTCGTTTACGGCAAAGTACCTACACCATTGAAAAGAGAAAATCTTGCTCTACAAGAACTGTTGTTCGTTTTTGGAGCAAACTTGAATTCCCTTCTTTTACGACTTATCAAAGCCAAATTTTTTCAGAGGCAAAAATTGGCGATTGCGGCAACTGCACTTTCCGCATTTGGTCCGTATTCCGCAAGATGTTTCTGTCATAGGTAGGCGGGATGGATAGTAGCAAGCAAGACTGAAACACTGACAAATTTGCAGCATGCCAATATGCATAGAACCGTTTGAACGAGGTCCCAATGGTTGTTGTCTTTGACTGCTGCCGCTTGAGTTTGGCGCGTTGTTCAGCGACACAATGTGTCGGTCCTCCTATCGGAACTTGAAAAATGGATGCGTTCTTCTAAGTGGTGTAGATGTATGAGTACAAGCTCTGACCAACATTTTACGCTTTCTCAAAAAAAATTTTTGACGTGGGAACTTTTTAAAATTGTGCCAAACGCAAAACATCTACACACATGGTAAACGTGCGCTTAATCTTTCTTTATAGCCTCTCTTTGGATATGGAGACTACTTTTATATGCACCGTAGTACCACAAACAGTTGTTTCGCATCACTCATAACAACTTCAGACGAAAAATTCCCACTTGTGGCTCCGTATACGGATCGAAAGTTGCAGTTGCCGCAATCGCCAATTTTTGCCTCTCAAAAAATTTTGCTTTGATAAGTCGTAAAAGAAGGGGATTCAAGTTTGCTCCAAAAACGAACAACAGTTCTTGTAGAGCAAGATTTTCTCTTTTCAATGGTATAGGTACTTTGCCGTAAACGAACCACTTCATCGAAAAACGGCGACAAAAATAAAAAGTCTACGAACTTATGAAACGACCTAATACATGATTTCCAAACCTAGAACCGTTTGCTGATCTATATCTAGGCACATGGTATAGTTCATTCGTTGAGCGCACGGACTGGATATAACTACGGAGCACGCGCATTGTACAAACCGTGCTCTCGCAACAGTTTAGCCGCGCCGGCGGGTCCGCCGGGTTTGAGCAGTCCATGCGGTCAACCAATCAACGATATGGTTACATGACGAAATCAAACCGCTTAGTGTAGCGAGTGGATTCCAAGCAGCTTGCGACAGCTGTGGCGCCAATTTGGCTCGCCTCGTAAGGGGTTGGAGGATCTTGAGGGTCTACCATTGCAACATTGTAAAATCCTAGTGCCCATCACTTTGCCGGGACGCTGCCCTTGACGACCGCTGTCTCATTCTCTCTCCATTTTTCGATTTTTGGACTCCCCACACTTCCAGAGCATTGTTGCGGCCTCGTCGTTCCTATCACATGCCGTATCGGTACCGTAATTCTGCATAATTTGATAATTACTTGTTTTGCTGAAATTCTCCCATTCGCTAGGTTCCCCAATCTTAGATTGTTTCTTTTTTGTTTCTGTTATCAGTCGACCCTTAAACTTTACATTTGTTTATTTAAAAATCGGTGCTATTCTTGACTTGCCTGGTCTAGCAGTCAGTTAGTTCTTCTTTAGGTGGGTACATAAGCCTTGCACCAAAAATTTAGAAAATTCAGAATCTTCCTTAGAATATGAGATCTCTAACCTTGATGAACTCTAGATAGAGGGTATTTCGCACTTTCCAGTACTTGAAGCAAAATTATTATTGCCACATATCGTAACGAAGAAGCTGAGAAAAGCACTCAAAAAGTAGTTTTGCAAGTTTAACAGAATTCAATATAACGTCTACCAAATTTCCATTTTATTGCTCTTTCTATCTAATGAAATACGTACCGGAGGACGTTCAGACAGTTATGGTTCTCGATTTTTTATCCACTTTTTCCTTTCAAGTCGAAAAATCTCTAATATCTATGATATGATATCGCCGGCTCCTTGAAGTAAACGGTGTCACTGCGGACTTGAATCGATGTTCTGTCCTATCCCGCAACACTATCATTGTTGCCAAGTCCGCAATTCCGCACCGTCTCGTCTACGTCGAGGAAACGACTACAAATTTTCGAGACATTTTACAAAAAATATGTGAGAGTTTAGGAAAAATTCCTTGAACACTCTAAAAACAAATTTTTGTTTTGGTACAAGACTTATCTATCAACCTGATAACTTCATGCACTTGCTGTAACGACTAGGTTACGCCATCAGTCGTCGTTTGCATCTGCTTGCCAATCAAGAGTAACCGAGTGATGGGTCCCGCGTGGAATGTGTAGAATCAAAATAGCGTTGCAATCGCCGTTTCATCCAAGGTACCATGGACTTTACAATCTCCATCAAAATTACCACGATCTCCGTCCGCATCGCCATGCGTCTGTGTCATATCAGCGTTTATAGGACAAAGAGATTTGGAATAGCGTGCGCTGATCACAGCGTGTTTTTCTTTCTCAAATCGTTCCTGACTCGAGTCTGAGATCCCGATCGGTTCTACGTCAGGAGGCGCGCCGCGCAGCAGCCGCCTTGCCGCGACTTTATGCCCCACCCTCTCCGCTCTAGTTTCCAGCGGCCAAACAGTGGGTAGAAGTGTGATGGGAGAGTGGGTAGGCAGATACGGTACCATCGCGCCGCCCTCAAAAACAGAAATTGAGCGCAGTGCTGCGTCGGAAGTGCCGCTTCTGTGGAACATTCAAGACTAAGATTTCAACGAAACAAGCCACATGTTTCTAAAGAGCTCATTCCAATCTATCCAAATGTGCAACTTTGCAAAACCCGTGTCTCGTTAACTTTAGCTGACCCTAAAGCAGACGACCACTTTCTTATTGCCAACTCATAATCGATTATATAGTAGTCATGATATGATTGAGGCCAACTTTGTAATCAGCTAGAGTTGAAAGGCTACGGTGTCTGCAAAAGGCAAGTGCAATTCTGAATAGATTGGAATGAGCTCCTTTCGCAGATGTGGCCTTCTTTATTGAAATTTGACTTTTAGAAGACTTATACCGAAGGTAGATGCCAGACTTCTCAGGTTCAACCGATTCAGGCGGTTTATCCATTCGCTATTGGTCAAATCACCGACCTAATCAAAAGCAAATGGGGTGAACAGGATGAATCGGCTGAATTAGATAAGTCTGGCACCTAACAAGCGGCGCCTCCGACGCAATAGCGCGTCTAATCCGTTGTAAGGGATCGTTCACACCGCGCCGGAACCCGACCAAACCCGACCAAACCCGCCCGATTACGTCCGAATCCGCCCGAATACGTCCAAACGCCCAAACCCGCCCAAATACGTCCGAACCCGCCTGAACTGCCAAAGCGCAGCAGGTTGCATGCAAATTGGCATATTGGAGCACGCGTGCGATGCCTTCTAATATCGGAGTAGTTGCAAAAGAAGATCGGTATCTGACGTCGAGCTACTTGTGAATAAGATGCGCTACGCGCGCAGTATTCCGCGCCTGCTCCAATATGCCAATTTGCGCATATCCGCTGCGCTTTGGCAGTTCCGGCGGGTTCGGGCGAATTCGGACGTATTTGGGCATTTGGACGTATTCGGGCGGGTTTGGACGGATTCCGTCTGAACGATCCCTAATTAACGGCGACGACGACGGTATCGCACACTGTTCCATGCTTAAGTACCAGGGTTCTGGCTCTTGTACTGGTTAGTCGTGCGGCATAGCTTCGCGGATATTCGCACCGACTTTGACCCCTGACCAATCCCCTTCCGACTCGTTTCAATGGTTTGACGAAATCCAAGCATTTTTGTGTTCTATCGCTTGTTCGCAGATTTTGTCGCTTCCAGCAGTAATGCGTAATCAACACAGCTCCTGCTTTTTTCCTCTTCTTTATGGAAACCTCTCGACCATTGCATTTGCTTAGTTTCGCGAGTTGAGGAAAGAATTCCGCCAATAGGCGCTGCCTCCGCGGACTACTGGTACTTTAGTATATAGTATTAGTATTGCAACGTGAGCAGTGGCGGTCCGGAATTTCAGTTGGGGGGGGGGGTGACAAGAAATTTTTTTCGATTTTGAAGGCGGGTCCGTTAACACAGATCGGTATGATTGCAAGTTCTTAAGAGCTGGAAATTTAAAAGAAGGGGGCCACTGCATGTGGAGACCAGTGGTCCGCGCTGAGCATCAGCGCTGGATTGCAAGGATGCAAGGATTCTCAAAGTGAATCCATTGCCCGACAGTCGCCTTTAGTAAGGTATGTGCCATTGTTGTGTTTCAGATAACTGCTGACAAACAGTAAAGACTGTTGAAAAAGTGACATCATAAATTTATCTCCTATAGATAATCCAGAATCCAGATCATGCAGTGGACAAGCATAACAAACAAATCTAGCCAACTCGAAAAAATTGCTTAGGAGATATCTATATGAAAGCTTCGGTTTGATTGGAAATTCTTAGGACCTGGAAATTTGCTCACATACATCATAAATCGACAGGCCATGGTTTGAAAAGAGGACAATGCTTAATACTAAAGGGAAGCAAATACTATCAAAACACGATATCACAGCCGCAATCAAAGTTTTTCAGACGATAGTATGAGAATACGATCTTAAAAGGTTAGAAAACACTGCTGGAGTAAAGGTAACGAGGATAGACATCTGAAGACAAGCCATTAAGCATGAGCGAACAGTAATTAACAAGCCATAATTGCTGGCCGCAGCTTGAGACCCTGATTTCAAATCTGCCCGTACATCGATTTTTGAATTACTTTATATCTACAGTCGATGTCAATTACGTACTCCCTTTCGCTTGAACTATGGGAACTATGCATGCGCAATGCGGGGTCCTGCATGCGGACCTCGAATTGATAAGGCCCACTTGAATGCCCAAGTCATACGCGCGCGAACGTGGCGCGAAGCTCATTGCATTTACGAAAAGGGAGCACGTGAATGACATGGACTGTAGATTTTCCGCCCAGTAGTGTGCTTTCTGTGCCGAGGTTGCGGTATAACTTGCGCGTAAACAAGAGCCGCACCAGTAATGCCGGCAACTTGCGCGCACAGGCCTGCAATACTGGCGGAGCTATTCGTTGATGAGCCAATCACCGCAGAATCTCGGCACCGCAATCACACTATATTGAGAGGGAAATCTGCTAGACCGTCTGAGCTTTTCCCTGCACGCGGTTGGTCTGTTTGGGGCATAGCACCTAGGAAAGGGGAAATCGACAACATGCTCCAGAGAACGGCAAGATGTCTAACAGATTCTGAGAGAAGATATTTGTCAGTGCATTAACTCGCGGAAGAGGATGCGAGACTGTCTTGACTCGGGAATCAGGGACACAAAGGTCATAACTGCGATCAGTTTCTCAAACTGCACGCAACAAGGATTTAATGCTGAATGGCTAAGCTTAGAGTTCTTGCCTCGTGAAACGAAAAAAATCTTCAGCACAGTGACCAACGGATACTAAGCAGTATTAAATGACAACTGAAAAACGCAAAAACAGTGAACTAGCTGACATAACGAAATCAGCTGAATTGGTAACATATCCGATTTGACATTATAAACGGCAAAGATTAATGTGCGAGAACCACTGGGCACATTGGCACTGTATTAAAATACGTTCAATATACAATCGGCACAGCCGTGGCACGGTTATCGTCATTCTCCTTATGAGGACAATGGTGTGCACAATCTCTTAGAGGAATCAACACAGAAATACAAATGAAGACTGATAAGAATCTTTTCTGAATGGCAGAAGTGCTAGGGCTTGCAGTTACTACTAAGCCAAGATAAGCCTTCGTGCAAGCCTTCTCCTTGTGCAGCGCAGGTAGGCTGCACATACCAATTCCTGTCCCGAATTCGTGTGAGACCCAATTTGTCTTGAATCTCGTGGGGTTTCATGGCTGAAACTGCTAGTATTGAGTTGGAATCATGACAAAACTTACAAATAGCCTTTGAAAGAAAGCGAAACTTTCTCCAGCAATGAATCATTACCGTTAATACAATCATGATCTAGGCATTCGCTGGGTTTTTAGGGAAAGGAAGTTGAAGAAAAGCTCAAACTTTGATGTTCTGTTTCTGATTTTGCTTTATCTTCTCATCTCAATATGGCTCTCTTACTTAGTAAATCGTGTTGAACAATTATGTGACGCCAGATGAGCATTTATTACCAGTACTAAGCAACATTGGGTTCACCATCGGGCCCCGGCCAGACTTCGCTTAAAAGCGCTCAAGAGCGTCCAGTTGTTCTAATGTCTCTACACTTTTTCGTGAGGAAAGATGAGAAATTAAAGAAATTTGGGCGCTTTTGAGCGAAGTCTGGCCGGAGCCTCAGACTGTGCCATCCCTATATTCATTTTTACTCAAGCAACGAAAGCGGCGCAGAGTTCCGACAAGTACGAGTACAACCAGACAATTTTTGCTTTCAAAGTGACCAGAGATTTCATCACTTCACAGCCTTGTTTACGAATGGAATAAGTTTGCAAATGCAATTTGAAAAATTCCATAACTGCAGACGAGTTTTTAATACAATGACGGACTGGAATTAATATTTTTAGTAACAAGGGAAGGATACCAATTTGAGTCGGCGATAAAGGCATGAAAGACGAGTTGTGTATTACTCAACGCGTCTTTAAACGCTGGTAGATCTGCTTTCCATTTTGCGGAATGATTCTCTGAAAGAAAGCATGCGCGCTTCAATGTTCAAATTTGTCAAACTCTAAATGGCTTAAAATTAGCGAACAGCTCTGAAACACCATGCAGAGTTGCACTGGCTGTACTCTCTTTAGTAAACACTCAAAACAAATTGATTACCCACTTTCAGATGTCTTTATACAGCTTTTCGCTAACTTTTAGCCATTTGGGGCTCGACAAATTTGGACATTCAAACGCTCATAACTTCTTTCGGAGAGTTGTTCCGCAAAAAAAGGAAAGCAGATTTGAAATCAACAGAAGAGGCATTTAGTGATATGGATGTTGTCTTCAAACAACGAGTTGATATCCTTCCCTTATGCATCTCACAGCGCAGAAATGCTGAATATTATACCGAGATAGACCACTTAAAAAATGTTCAAAATCGAGTCGCTTTCGTTGACTCGTAAAATGATGAATGGCTTGATACAAAAAGGCATAACACTGCGATAACATAGAAGCTGTTTAACAGGAATACAAGGCGGGCTAGCAGATCCGTAAGAGATGAAAAGAAAAAGAATTAATTCTGCTTTTAATTATTACACAGTTTCTCAGTGAAGAATGAGCACGAACACGACGCTTGAGTGAACAGGCTAAAAAACTGCGCGAAACTCACTGAAACAATGATGTGACATCAGATACAGATACGCATGATTCGCCATCCCGGCAAGTAAAGTTATGAGAAAAGTATTTTGTACGTGAAGTTACGAGAGAAGAGGTGTTTTCACGCAGTGATTCTATATGTGAGATGAGACAACAATCATTTACCAGACATGCAAAAATCTGCAAGTGAATTCTGGAGCAAGATAACGACAGAATGGTGGAATACCGCACTGATATACCGAAATCAAACAAGTTTTCACCAAAAAAATTCACCACCGAATTTCTTGAAATTGGTTGGAAGATTTTGCAAATTCAAACGTAAAATGGGATGGAAGTCAGCCAACGATTCAGAGCACCAAGATAGCAAAGGACACGTTATCAACTTCATTTGATCTCCTGTTCGACTCGCAAGTATGTCGTTTTCTCATAGTTACCCTCTATCAAAGAAGACAATTTTGAGCCGAAACGTAAAAATGAGAAGGTGCTTCAATGGTGAATCGATGTATCGGTGTAGACAAAATCACAAGCAAATTTAGAAAGTTCGAAAAGGAGTGAAGCACCTGGAACTTTCAGAGCACTAGAGCAATCATACGATAAGTAACCCTCGTTAATTTAAACTGACTATACTTGTTGCCCAATGCTGTTTTTTGTTGCATAGATACAAAACATCACGCGGCAATATGGTGTACCCTGATCACTAGAGAATCGAACAGAATCGATTTGTTGCACATAGCAGAAAAAACGGTTGGTTGGTTGGTTTTTGTGAAAGATGCTACAAGTGCATTAGCATATTTTCAAAATAAAGTGAAATATTGGTGAGACATCTAAGATGCCCACGCACACATTTCATCATAACAAGATTCTTGTAAGATTTTGCTAGGTCAAGCGTTGAATAGAAACCACAATCAAGCAAAAAAAGAAATGATAACGATTAGAGGATTAAAGAACAGCGTGCATGCTCTTAACAACCCATCACACTGCATTATTTCAAACGTTCTGTCGTATTGAATAGCTATGAATTGCGTAGTGAGGAGTCGTTGGAGCGTTGGGATCAAAACCGATCCCTTCTCTCAGACTGGAAAGAATGTATTTGGTACAAATAAGTATTTGGAATGATCAAAGCACCGACTCGATGGCCTAATCTTAAACCCCACAGCGGGTAATGAATACGTAAAATTTTTATAATTGCTAGGATATCGCGCGAAGACTGCTAATGTAGTCTATACATTCGCTATTCTCGAGTTCTCTAGCCCATAAGTTGCAGATAGTGCAGCAGCAGATGACATATTGCAGGAGATGATACTGGAGGAGAAAAAGAAAATATGCATTTTCCACTTCACGCCATGAAAGACAGCATGTTAGGTAAAAAATCAAAGTTAATCAATGGTAACGACGATTTTTACAATATATATAACAAATGCTGCGAGAAAACTTTCAGTGTGACGCCACAAAGCTTAAGAAAAATCTTTTGAAGGTTGCAGTTGCGAACGCCAAGCAAAGCAACATTTAACTGACGAATACGAACAGTAAGAAAATCGCTGTTAAGCTGCTCCACTCAACCTAGAGTGGGTCCAGCAACAGAATAGTCGTTTCAACAGGAAGTATAAAAAGCAAGAATGTATGACAAACATGAAAGAAAAACACAAAGTACAACAATGGGAAATATTCAGCGAAATGTTCAAAGATAGTCGAAATAAAAAGGTGAACAGAGTAAACATACCGTCGGGAAGATCTTGCTTATTGGCAAAAACAAGAATTATAGCCTCTTTCATCTCTCGGTCGTTGATGATACGATGTAGTTCAACTCGTGCTTCATCGACTCTGTATATATCATTATATTAATGTCGAATGACTGAAGAATATTGTAGTCATAAACAGTTATTATCGCAGTAGCTCATTTGATCGCAAAGCAGTATCGTGTATCACTACTATGCCTAGGGAATCTCAAAGCTCATGAGGACGTTATGCTGATGTAATCAACAAGTTCAAGAAGGTCTTTGAATGCAGAAAGACAGTCAGAGAATACGAAGACCATGAAAACCAACCTGTCACGATCAGCTGCATCTAGGACAAAAATAAGTGCCTGTGTACCCGTATAATAGTGCCTCCAAAGTGGGCGAATTTTGTCCTGCCCTCCCACATCCTAAGAAGACAAACTCTGATGTAAGCTCCAAAGTTTTAGCTAACAGACAAGGATGGAATGACTCAGAAAGCTCACCCATACGTTGAATTTCACATTTTTATATGTCACTGTTTCAACGTTGAATCCCACAGTTGGTATCGTCGTTACTGATTGGCCCAGCTTCAATTTGTACAATATAGCTTAAAGAAATAATTGTATCATTTGTTGATAAGTACCCAGGCCAAACTGAACTGAAGTTTGCGATGAAATTTATGATAAATACATACTCGTTTTTCCAGCAGCGTCTAATCCTAACATGAGTATTCGCATTTCTTTCTTGCCAAATATTTTTGACAAAAGCTTCCCCATGATAGGAGCAGACTAAAAACGGCAATCATCATCAAGTAAAGCGTACGTTACATGAGAAGGGACACTAGTGCAGTGGCGAGTCAATAGAAATCAGCAAACAAAATGTGTTAAAGCTAAGACAGTGTACAACACTAGAAAATGTGGAAGTTATTTATAGCTCGTGAGGCAAGAATGAAAAATGAAAGGCGTCAAACGCTTGAAATGATGTCTCATCGTGAAGTCAGCGACAATCTGTCACAAATTAGGCAGGCATTCACTCCGTCTCTGCATTACCTCACGCGCGCAGACGTCGAGAGCGATGGCAGCCGTGCGGACGGAGACTTATTCACCGCTGACGCCCGGTTTCAAATGTGCGAAACCAGTCTATTCGATGATCAAACACGAAAAACATGCTATAACTTGCGAGCTGTTTAACCAAGATAACAGACTCATATTTATTGTGAGTCTAACGAGAAGTACGTCCGCACAACATGCACTGTAAATATTATGGCAAGCTGTTCACAAAATAGATATTTATTTTGGATACACGTGAGTTGAGCCGACAAGTAATGTTTTTCGCTCCCGACTACAATGGAAGGATAACGGTGACCGTGGACTTCCAAGTTGAACGACCACATCCAAGACGATCTCGTCACTCAAATCCAGTGGGGGATGGGTACGATCAGCGAGAATTTTTCGCGAAGCGACGCCGTAACTTACTTCAACCAATACAACAGCAGCACTCCAGGCGCAATGTTACTTATGGCATTGAGTCATGTATCTGCCTCCACCCCCACCCCCGTGTTTTGCCGCCGGGAGTCTCTGATATGGGGAGCTCTATGGGTCCCAAGATCTGGACGCGGTGTGCACGGCGAAGCGGCCGCCGCGCGCGGCGTACCTCCTGAGCAGCCAAGTCCAGTCTAGATGATCACAACTTTCAATGTTGTAAAATGAAGCGCGAGCCATGAAAATGCGTTTCAAAGCTCCACTTTTAGGCCTAAGGCTTCATACATACTTGACGATGGAGGTATAGCGGGTATTGGCGAATCGCTGCTGTCTCCGCTGCTTCTAGCTGCTTGAAGCTGCTGCGCATGGGTGCATTTTAGGTGTAGCAGCAAAGTAATATCAGCCCTTCCAGCTGATCTAGATTAACGAAGAAATGAATTCATGAATCTATCGCTGGAATGCATGAATTATGAAATATAGCACACTACTATCACTATAAAGTTTTGTTTGTAATAAGCACGCGCACAAATGCTGCATTTACTAGAAAAAATTGAGATAGTTTAACAGATGTTAATTTTAATGTCACACATGCTCCTTACGTGTGCTTGAGGCAACAATTAAACTAGGTCTATTCCCCGCCGTATTGCATAAGTGGGCTAGCGACATCCCACTATCTTCCTTGATAAATATCTGCCTCTAGCTGTTCATCGTACTCTATTCATATTCTATTTTGATTCCAGAGGTCTTGTAGAGTTTATCTCGTTCAGACTGATTTGCATTTACCTATGCATTTGTCCTTTTGATAGTCTCGCAAAATGTCATAGTTCACTTATCGCAACAAATGCTCTGGAAATCCTTTGAAAACACAAAAAAATGGTAAATAGGGGCAAATCCGAGCGAAATCAGCTGATAGCAGCATGGAGCAGCTGAGAAAAGCTCAAAAAAAGTGAGCTTCATATCGCGTAGCAGCGAGGAGCAGCAACGAGCAGCTGGGAGCAGCTAGAAGCAGCGCAGCATCGCTAGCTATAGCGGGTCTATTTCGCGATGGCTGCAGCAGCTAGGAGAAGCAGCGTCGCCTGGCTGCAATCGATACGCATAAAAAGCGTTGCTGCTAGCAGCGACGCATCGTCAGCTATAGCCACCCATCGTCAGGTATGTACCAAGCCCAAGGCCCCGGACAGACTTCACGCAATTTGATCGTCGCGACTGAATCGCGACGAGACAACTGTTACAGCATCATTCCATGCCGATCAACTTGCATTTCGGTTGTGATACTTTTCCAGCCCGAAATTTTTGAATGTGAAATGAAGATGAATGGAAATGTCGGCGATTGAGTCGCGAAGATCAAATCGCGTGAAGTCTGTCCGGGGCCTAAAGCATACTTTGCGCGATTCCAGTCGCTGCGCGATTTGGCACAAGAGCGACTCTTCATGATTCGTCGTTAGTGCGCTTTGGTCAAAACTTCATCCGTTTGCAACAACTTACACAAGCTACCCAAATATGCTTCAAGAAGCGCGCACGATTAATTAGTACAAATTTGGCAAACCGCCAAGTCGAGTGAAAGTGGCGATTCGCCCGAATCGCGCGAGGTATGCCTTAGGCCTTAGACAACTGGCCGGAACCGCAGCGCTTTCGCAGGATTTCCGCAGGTGACCCAGCCGCCCTGATTTTTATTGTAAGTTTCAGATTTCCTACGACCCTACAGAAAAAATCTCAAATCTGGGTCATTTTTTTCTACCCCTATCTGTGCAACAAATGATCACTAGTAAGCCACTAAAGTAACATTATGAAGAGCTAGATTTACACTTCATAAATATAAAACCGTAGAAATCGGCTGGAAAAATCAGAAGATATGAATTTTTGAATATGGTGCGAACGGACTTTCGGGACAACCTAATAATACTATACTAGAGAACAAAAGTTCGTTCCCACCATTTAAAAAAAACTCGTTACTTCCTTATTTCTCAACCGCTTTGCATATGTTCATTTTTGTTTAAACGAGAAATTGTGCTCTTTCCCAAGGTGCCTGACGCACCATAGCAAGCTTCAAAGATCGAAACCAGTGAAGTGGTATAAATAGCTTTTATTACCTGCTCCCTCTGACTCAGGAAATTCGCGCTGGTTGAAGTCTTTATAAAAAGCTATGATTTTTGAGCAAGCAGTGAAAATCAGCGAATTTGATTTTTTGGTACTTTCTTCTAACGTCAGAACTTTTCAAAAAGAAGTTTTATCAAACTTTGCACAGTCACAAAGAGCATTTCTGGAATCCTATAATTCCGGTCTAACCGCTCCTATTTTACTGCTTTCAGATTTTTTACGAACAAGCACAGGAGATTTAAAAATGGGAAATTTTCCGCTTTCTATCTCCAAAGCTTGCTTATATTGAAAGGTACTGCAAGTAAGATTCGAAAATGCTGAATTCCTCACTCAGATAATAATAAACATGCGCAGATGAAGATGTGGGAAGTATCTGCGAGTAAAATTTTGAAATTTTTTCAAGTGGGGGGGGGGGGGAAGAGAAAAAAATTTTCGGGTTCATGGGCTTGTAGCCGCTTCTCAAAACAGAATTCAGCAATGGTTGAATTTTTGCGGTTTTGATTCTTCTACTCCCTTTCTCAGCGAAAGGAGCGTGGAGTGAGCCACAACTTCGAAAATTGTCCACAAGGCTACTTTGGATTAAAAAAAACTTTGAAAATTATTTTATCATTAATAGAGAGTTTCTGGACCACCATAGAAAATTTTGTGACCCATCATTCCCCTCCCCCCCCTCCCCTCTCCTTCGATATATTTCTGCCGCAATTCTTGTGAATCTTCGAATCAGAAAATATAGTTTTGCGATGTGTGCGTATTGTGATAGGACATGTATGAGTGAGAGGAAAACATTGAAAATATCAGAAACAGAGAGGAGAAGGATAAATGAACGAAAAACACTGGCGGTGTGAGTTTTTCAAAAGAGGGGGGGAGAAGGTGGAACAAAAATTTTTGGTTTTCATAAGCCTGTGGCCTCCAGCAGAAGAAAATTCAGGAATGATTAAACTTTTGCGGTCCCAATTTTTGTACCTCCTCGATTTTTAGCACACATTTGAAGACTGCTCCACAAACTACTTCGAAAACAGAAATTTTTGAAAATTTTATCATTCACCAAGAGCTGCAGATGGCCCATTATCCCCTCCTCCTTTGTTTTGAAATATTTCTATCAAATTACTTCTGCTCTGTTTAAACATCCAAAACATATTCTCTACAAAGTAATAGTTTCAAATAATTTAACTATTATTTGATGAAAACAAAAAAAAGCAAAGAAATGGGACATACCTGAACAAGAGCGTTATGCTTAATGAAGTCCTTCCACTGAGTCCTTTTCCAGCACTCCGGCAGCTTAGTGATGGTTGTTCACATAACTGCACCGATGCCTGCAAGAATACTTACAAGGAAAGAATACTTAGTCAAAAGTACCAATCCAGATGAGACATATATCAGCTTAAAGCGCTGGAAACGCTGATTCCCAGTCTGTAGTTTCTAGCAGCGGAGCGGTTCTCTAGAAGGAGTTATGAGAGGGGATTCCCTCTGGGGTTGAGGCGCCCTTCAGCAGGTCTCCTCTTATCTATGAGCACTGTAGAGGAGTACCAACTGGTACAACTGACCTAGTGGTAAGTGACTTGCTTGATAAGGAGAGTGTCAAGGTTTCAATCCCCTTCGCATGAAACTTTATCGCAATTTGCAAAATTAGACTTTTAAGTGGCTTTGGAGCCCTAAAGTGTGAAATTTCTGATTTATTGATGCTAATCGAAGTTAGAAATGTTAATGAACCAAGGTAATATGAGTATCATAAATCCTTATTGTAATTTTCATTCAAATTACTTACCATTAGGCCAGCTGCCACTAGCTGGTACTCCTCCACAGTGCTCATAGAGAAGGGAAAGGCGCCTCAACCCTAGAGGGAAACACCCCTCATAACTCCTTCTACAAAACTGCTCCGCTGCTAAAAACTACAGATTTGGAATCAGCGTTTCAAGCGCTTTAAGATGATATATGCCTCATCTAGTTTGGTGCTTTCGACTAATTATCCTCTCCCTATTAGAATTTGGATAATTATAGATTTACTTACGCCACAATGAAGAAACAAAGGAAAAAGAGAAAGAAAAGAAGAGAAGCAGAAGCGAAGCAGTAGGGAAGGCTGAAGATGCGCTCGCTATTTCGCAATCGCAGGTGCATGCGCTCTCAAAATCCTGCGGAAAGGCTGGCAGGTCAAAGTGCCGCTGAAACCTCAGCGCTTTATTAAGAGTGCTGCGGAAGTTCCGGTTTACGATCGCTATGACGTCAATTTCCTGCGAAAACTCCGCATTTGGAGCGTGCACTTTCTCAATGGTTAAGAAAATGCTGCGGAATCGCTGCAAATTCTGCTTGTCCTGCGGAGGTTCCGGTGAATTGTCTGAGCAATGACTCCTACTAGTGGAAGCGCGCGGCTGCACTCAGGGAACGGCCATAGCTTGCCGGCAACGGTTGCCGAGGTTGCCGGCGTTGCCGGGGTCACAGACAGCTTAGAGAGCGCACGAAACGTGGAGACTATCATGAGGTCCCACACGACTGACAACGCTAGCAACCTCAACCAGTCGGCCAGTTGCCGCCAAAATGAGTGGTGTCACAGTTTCCTGCAGCCAGTCATTGTTTTTGGCGGGATTCTCCGCTTCAGCCTCCTCAGCAATCTCCAAGGCTAGAGAACGCTATAAAAAGCACTTTTTTGACTTTTCAAGCACAGCTCTGGTATAAGCGCATCCAGAAGGTCAAGGAGGAACAGAAAGCGCGCAATTGCAAGTGTCCCGAACCATGCCTTTAAGCGAGATTGGGAAATATCAATTGTCGCATGAAAAAAAATGTGAAAAGTTGTGCAATAATGTCTTCCGCATGCTTGTTTCCCTACTTAGCTTTTCAAATTTCCAAGGCACTGAAAACTTGTTTTGGGCGAACACCCACTACAGTTCCTCGCAACTTTCACTTTCTCAACATGCAGCATACACTTACAGTAAGGTTCAGCCCAGTTAGGCGGAAGTTGGGTTGGCGGGCCTGCGCTTCAACGTTTCGCGCAGTTTCTTGCCACATCGTGCCAAGAACCAATGCCTGCTCTTCATTCTCTCCAAACTGTGCTTGGCAGTGAGCTCGCGTAGTACTCTTAGTCTCCAGCGATGCAGATGCGCTGCCTCCACTTGAAAGTTCGGCCTACTCCGGGTTGAGACAAACTGTACTACACCAAAACCAGGCTTGATTACATCGATACTATATAATACTTGGCTTATCCACTTTTTGTATGTTCGCCCGAAAAGGTTAAAAAGAGTTATGGAATTTGCACAAATTTGACAGATATAATCTACCAGTGCGTCACCTCTGCTCCGCAGAGGCTCACACTGGCTCTACTATCTAGGCCACTTTCGCATAATGATGGCATTGGAACTCATCGAGCAATGTCGACTATCACAAACAAAATGTAAACAACTACTCATTCCGAGAGCTTTTTTATGTGAAATCGGTGATTTCGCGTGGATGAGACCTTTTGCAGTGGCCGTATTCATCAACGAACCTTGAGGTTAAATTCTACCTAGAGAACATGCCTCAAGGTAAAATTTAACGTTAAGGTAACTTTGCTATTCACAAAACTACCTTGAGGTTAAAATCTACCTGGTAGTCAGCAGAGTACTCACTGACGTTTATTCGGAACATGCCATGACGTAATAGCGGTGTATGAAATCCTACTGATTTTCCACTGCCAAGTTGATATTGCCGTATGTCTTGTAGGTTCACGTTACAATGTTATGGCAGGAAAACATTCTAGGAACCAAGCAAACATGTTTCAACATGGTTGGAAGTGGCAATTAATATACAGGGCTTTTCAAAAGTAACCCACTTTTTAATCGTTAATATCTCTCCCTTCACTTGTTTTTTTTTTGGTTAGCTAGGCGCCATTCAGTAGCGCAGGCTTTAACTCAGATTCGTAGTATGGAGATAAGCACCTGTAGCTCTTCGTTATTGTAGAATTAGAGAATTTTGGGGAGGGTTTTGACAGTTAACGGCTACATTTTGGCCCAAAATGGGTACTTATCAAGCTGAAATCTTTATCACCCACAAACAGAGTCGCTGATCTGATGTGAAGTTCAGAATTTACCGAAAGGCTTTTTTTCTAAATTTATGCCATGTTAACCGCAATAACCTTTCTACAGTGCCGAAAATCTGATCAAATTTGTTTGGAACGGTAAAAACGCTCAGCACGGCTGTCTAATAGAATTAGCAGTTTCGAAAACACTGCTACACAACTTTCCGGCTTTTGGAGCCTTTTTGGATGGCCTACATCAAAATTATAGAATCAAAGTGGCGCTGTGGCTGGAAACCGATTTTACAGCAATCAAGAGCGATGGGTGATTCATACCACACTACAAGTCTAAGATGTGGCCTGCTTTATTGAACGGTACTTGCAGCTAAGCAAAATGCTTTCTAAAAAGAGTGTTATTAACGATCAAAGAGTGTGTACTTACTCCTGGGACACCCTGTAGATTAGGAAGAAGGCTACGCTTCATGGTTATTAGAGTGTAAGCAGCATTGAGATAGAGCTCTACCATAAGAACCGCACTTACCACAAGTACAACCGTGAAGTTACATAAGTTTTCTCAAAGTTTCACATAATTCGTTTTACACTTGAAGTGTAGTATATACTAGGTGGGTCTAAAAGTTCGTGCCGTTTTTAGACTCATCCTCAAATCAAACAAAGACAGACAAACACCCTGGTTAGGAATCCTTTGATGTTCGCTTGAAAAATCGTCAGATTCTTTCGCCTATAATTCCTAATCGCCCTAAATTTGCTTTTTTTGTAATTTTCGTTCTAGAATTTTGGAGGAGCTTTAACAACAGTTAGATAAAGTAAACAAGATGCAATGCGGTGCAATTTTTTGGCACAATAGCTGGCTTTTCAAGTTTTCTAAAATTATCTTGATGCTACCATATTTGATTTCTGTTTATCCTAAACCTCGTAGAGCATCAGACGGCAAACAGCTAAGGTGTTGCTCGATGCAGCTTCCTCTCCTCTTTTGGTCAGATGCCTTTTCTTTCTAATTAAAGGTTTCGAAGAAAAAATTGCCAGTTCTATTTTTTACTTCCCAGGATGCATACGAAAAATTCAGAAGCCAAATTTCGAGGCCTTAAAAACTTGTTTGTTTGTTGAAATTAGTGTTCAATCATAATTTTTGGAAGTCCAAAATCGCGAAGATTCCTTATGTTTGAAGCGTTTGTACATTTTACGACTTCGCAAATGTGAAGACTTATGGAAAGCTTGTTTCTAAAATATTGAAAACCAGCTGACGATACCAAAACACTGGATTTTGCAGCTTGTTCGCTCTATTTAACTATTACCAAAGCTGTTTCAGAAGCCCAAAACAAAAACAAATAGCTAAGCTTAGGGTACGTTATATGCAGTTGGAGATTGTGGCGATTACTTGGAGGAACAATAAAGGAATCCAAACAAGGATATCACTGCTGAAAAGAGAAAGAAATTCTCCACGGAACAGTGCATAGAATGTATATCTGTTGTTTTTCTGAACGGTTTGAGAATAGACCTAAATACGGCACGAACTTACAGACCTACTTATAGTAATATTTTGTCCCAAAACTCCTTCTCTGTTCCCTATTAGGATGAAAAGGAAGACGCCGGTCCTTTTGAAAAGGAAAGCGCGCTCTAACGAACAACCTACGGAGCTGGCGAGATCAAGTGGGAAATGTAAAAAATCGACAGTGGCAAGAACGAAGTCGTTTCACGGATGTCCATTTGTCACCCCCATGCTGGGCCCTGATACCATATTGGAGGGCATAAAGCACTGATTTTACTGCCTTCGTTACCTGCGACACGTTTATGAACGAGAAAGCATGAGCGTTTTTCACGCCAAACAAAAATAGCCGTAATGTGTTTTTACTGCTTCAATGGAGCAATGATAATTATCAGAGTATTTTATTCAGTAAATATCCTAAGATTAAAATAATTTTTACACTTGATGGTGCTTTATTTGAGAACTAGTAATGTTTTAGCGACTCATTTTATCGCATATGCACATGTGATCTTTTGCTGCATACGTTCATAGTTCCTCGTCAAGGAATGCTCTGCAAATAAATACACGAATTTGGAACGTTTTCTGCTATCCAACAACGTATACATCCCATCCAGGAAGGTCACTAAAAAAATGCTTGCCTTGTAAGTAAACAAGTAAGGTTTGCGCTATTAGTGGATATCAACATACTTGTCTTTAACGGCTTCATTAGAATTCAAGAGGTCCTTTGAGAGAGTTCAACTGTTATGTGCAGAGTCAAGGTAGAATTTAACCCTAGCTATCCTAGGGTTAAATTTTACCTCGGAAGAATAATAGAAAGTTGATGGAGGAATGATGATTGAGGTAGATTTTAACCTCAAGGTAGAATGATGAATACGGGTTTATGCGTTTGAAGGTTCATTTCTACCTCAAGGTAGACTTAACCCACGATAAAATTTCATTGCGATCATGTTGTGAATACGGGTTATAAACTAAAATGCTAGCTGAGGTAACTTTTAACCTCAAGGGTTCGTTGATGAATACGGCCACAGGAAAACAAACGCAGATTTTTACAGGTTTTCGATTTTTCCATGATCTTGACAGTTGCAATAAGAACAGCAGTCACCTTGAGCTACATCTTTGTGCAAAATCTCGTCAAATGCTCCGCTAAAACCTTGGCAAATTGGCCATTTACATAACTAACACTTTTTGGCGCCGTTTTTGTAAAGTAATGGACTTTTGATCACTTTTTTGGGCCTATGTTCATGGCTTGAACATTTACTTGGCATCGACGACTCTGCAAAAAGTTGAATTACGGACCCAAATTTGCGCCCCAAATGCGAAGTGG